ATTTGTAGCCTGCAAAAGCGCAGGTGAAACCTGGTTCGCAACATGGCTTAACGAGAAAAGAAACAGTAGAAATCACCGGGATGGATAAGCAAAACCGTAAATTCTCAAAAAAACCAAAAATTAGATTGTTGCTCTCCTAATAGATCCCTCAAAATTTTGATAATTGCAGCTGAATTTCCAAACCCAAGCCGTCGACTCACGGGCATTGGACGCGCTGCGTGAGGTTTGCGACCGCCGGATGCCCTTGAGTATAGGCTATAGGCGCACATGAACATCCCATTCTATATGGAGTTTCTTTTTTGAAAGAAATTCGTCATTGTATCTTATACATTTCTAAGATCGTGAACAATTTCTGCTTTCAAATTCTAGCTAAAAGAATGCGCTTCAAAAACGGCAAAGAAACAATCCACCAAGCCGTAGATTAATGAATAATCGTCAAATCACTGTTATTCTTTAGGACTCACTCATTGTGGTTTTCATTCGCTTTGGATTTGAAAGATGTCACAGGTGCAGGCAGCACTATGGGTCATCGGGTAAGGTTGAGAGGAGAAAGGTGCTTTTCAAACGACTGACCGGAACTTCCGCAGAAAGCTTGGGGAAGTTCCGCCGGTCACCTGCGGAAGTTCCGAAGAATGGGAACTACAACAGCAAAAGAGAACATACGGGCTACGGATGACATGTTCGACAAAGCTTATAATTGTTGGTGAGGCAATATCGTAAGGGGACAACACATATAAAAGTACTGGCATGTCAAAGTGCTGCGGAACAGCTGGCATTGAAGATCCGAAGCATTTTGTAAAAATCCTGCGGAAGTTCCCAATTTTAACGTTCCCACATTTGCAACAGTAAGCAGAATCCAGCGGAACAACAGCAAATTTGCTTGTCTTGCGAAAATTTCAGTTGTCTGAGTTGGAGAAAGGAAGCAGTGGATGGGTAGTGTTGCGTAAGGTGATTGCTAAGACGCGCAATACCGAAAGGTCGCACGGCTGTTGACCGATTGCGTTAGGATCGTGCGGGATCTCTTTGTTCTTCTTTACTGCTAATTCACACATCGTTACGAGTGTACTGCGCAGTTTCAAAGGAAAAAAGCGGCGGAGAAAAGAATGGCAGATATGTAGAGGGCCCGCCACGTTCGTGTGTATTTGTAGAATGTAGGGTTTTCACAGGAAAGAATCATTTCACTCGTATCCTGAGATATTCTTGTTATTATGATTGATAGGCCTAATTTTAATGAAAAAAGCATGAACTTGAAATCACTCGAAACACCCAGGGAAATTCCAAAACGAAGTCCCCTTAAAGCTGCAAAATTTTGTACAAAGTCCTCTTTGACCCCGGACCCTTAACGTAAAACACCCCAAAAAACGAAACGTCGACCAAAAAACGTGCAATTTTTGCCACAAAAACGATATCCAGCTTGACCCGGTGCAAGCTATGTCGAGCCCTTGAAAAGGTTCTCCAACTTTTCAGATGGTAAAAGAATCCAGAAATTTGCTAAGCAAAGAATGAAGAACCTCTGATTGCTGTGAAAAGAGAAAAGTAGGAATGGGAAAGGAACAAAAAGCATCTATTAGTCGTCCCGAAGGTTCTGTCGTTTCGTTTTTGAAAATTTGTAACTTTTTGCAGTCTCGGCGGATGTGTTTCTTTGAATTTTATTGAAAAGAAGAATCCACTCTATGAGTTTATCCAGATGAGCTTCTACTACACAGTCGTTGCAGAAATTAAAATAGAAGAAAAAGACCATTCAGGCTTTGATCATTTCATGTTAGGTCGTCAAAAATCTAGAACGTTTCGGAAAATTCTGAAATCGTCAGTAGATAAGTTTTATGAGCTATTCTTCAAGTGAGAGGAAATTGTGCTGTTTGGACTTTTCTGTAAAAAGTTACGATTCTTGAAAAAAGCGGCAAGTTGATTGAATCAACATTTTCGGTTCAAAACGCGAAATCCATTACTTTTCGCAGAAAACGTCAAAATAGCACAAACTTTCTTAGGATGCAAAGAGTGGGTCATAATTTTTGCACACTGACGATTTCGGATTTTTATGCAACTTTCGAGATTTTGGGTGAAGTAACCTAAAATGGTCAAAACCTGAGTGCTCTTCTTTTTCCAATTTTATCTCTGCTAAATGTAGAAGCTCACCAAGATATACACAAAAAACGAAAAGTTTTCTTCTTTCTGATAAAATTAAAAATACACAAATCCGTAAATGTAGCGACAAGTTACAAATTTTCAAAAATGAAACGACAGAATTTCGGGACAATCTATTATAAGGTTGATGCACAATTCTTGCACTAAAAAATAAAAAAATTGTTTTAATAATGCTTAAACAAACTAATAATCCACAGGATATGTTCTTTGATAATTATATCAAAAGCGGTATTCTACAGGGCATTTTGGAAAATCATTTTGAAACAAATTGATAGGTCAATTGAGAAAAATCGAAATTGTTAACTACTCGCAGAGACACCCAATGATCATCAACTTCTCTCAATCAAAAAGGGTATAACCTTAAACCAAGACTAAAAATGGATTCAAATTTTAGTAAAAGTTTCAGCGATTTTAGTGCCCAAAAATCAAAAAATCACTTTTTAGGTAATTTTTGATCATCTTATATCGTTACCATGTGCTCTTAAAGAATCTTAACTCGAGCAACTGCGGAAAGCCCAAGGTTTTTTTCTCTATTACGCTACAAATTCAAGGGATTTCATTGAAGCTGGAGGAAGTACCAGAATTTTGAGAATTTCGGTGCAAGGATTATGCACCAACCTAACATACTGAGACTGTCAAGCTAGAACCGTCCAGAAGTGCGACAGTAAGAAGAGAGGGGAGGGGGAAGGGGGACGGAGCGCCCGTGCACGGCCACCTGTTCACACTCGAGTGTAGCGGGGGGTCAGATGAGCCGAAGATTTATTTACCACTCATCGTATGTCATATGCGGACGGCAGAGATCATCCGTCACCTGATTCCGGTAAGCAGGCTAGTGTAACCTTGACTTTTGGGCGAATCTATGGTAGTAAGGGGCAAAGTTCATGAAGTTGAAGGATGAAGCTAATTTCGCAGTGTAGAGCTGACTTATTTATTTCATTTACTGTCGAAGATGCCCAGGTTCCAAATTCTTTTAATTGAACTAGCTATTAACTCATATATTGCAACTGAAGTCCAATTAAAAAAGCAAAAACTAACAGATGTTTGACCAGATTTGATAACTTTACACTACGGAAGAATACAGGAAATTGTTAAGAGCAATCCCTACTATTTTGAAAATCATTGCGGCAGCCAGAGTTAGAAGAAGAAAATCTGCATTTTTGTTAGCTTTAGTCAGCGTAGCTTGCTCTTAAAAAAGAGTATAAATGGTAACTAAACTCGTGATCTTTGCTTCAAACAGAGATAATTTTCAGAAGAACAATTACAATCACTCTTATCTCAATATAAAAACTGAAGAAAGTAGACGACGTACAAACCACTAAAGCACACTACATATTACTATAGTGAGCGCAAGTGGACAGCCCATTCACGCCACAGGCCGAAGTTGTAGGCTACAAGGTACACACCAGACATTACGCTAACCCAGCTAAGTGCTAGCAAATACAATACCGCTCGTAATTCTTGAAAAAAAAAAGCGCGCAGTAACCGGATTCATGTGACATTATCGTAGCGTATATCTCGCTTGAAAGTGGACAAATTCTTAATTTAAGGGCACCATTCGACTCAGCTCGGCCGGCACATTTTCTGCTATATAAAAGAGTCCGCTTGGAAGTGGATTCCACAAGCTGGTTCAGATTTTTGGTTACGGTAGGTTGCCCAGTGAGTGCAATGAATAAACACGCTGAATAACCTAACGTAAGCAAAAATCTGAAACGATTTGTGGAATGTGGTCTCCTACTGTGTGCAAGCGGGCACTTCTATCAGAAGATGCGCCGCGCAGAGCTGAGACGAACGGTGCCCTTGGAATAAGAATTCTTCCACTCTGAAGCGAGATATGGCCATTTGCGATGATGTCACATGGATCAGTCGACTTCGTGTCGCTTTTTTTCAAAAAATATGAGCGATAATGTATTTATACGTTTATACTGCTGCAGAAGATTTTGATAGTAAGTTTAGAAAAAGGAGTGATGAGGAAAGGAAGAAACCAAAGCATTAGTCGTGTTAGACTGTGGATATCCGAAATGAAGTGATTTTGGTATTCTTTCATTAGACAGAATCCAAAAGGCAAAATCTCAGCTTCAGCTAAAACTGCAGATGAGACTTTGAGATGGTGTTCACGAATGACACGCGGATATGCCTCAGTGCAAGGTTACGGTACTTGTACGGTAGGTCGCTACGATGTCAAAATTCCGTAGCGCTATAGAGAGATCATTTGTGGAGAAAAAGACCAAAAACATTATATCTACTCTTTGTCCATAACAAGCATGTCATGAGACCTTGAGATACTGACTTCATGTCGCACTTACCGTAATCCTGCAAAAATGCCCAATTATGCTAGATGAATATTGTTTTCGCCGAAGCATGTGAAAAGAACCCAAAATGGCAAAATTTAGCAAACTGGAAGATTTTGACTTTTTTGGGTTGTATCAGTGGCGTATCCAGGAAAGAATCTCTGAGACCGAGGGAGAAGGGACGCCCCCGAAAAAAAATTTTTAATGAAGCTGAATTGAATTTTCAAAGAATTTTAGAAATTATTTCAATTATTTACAAGTATAAACAGGTTACTTGCACATTTCTATGGAATTTCGCGACCATTTCTCCGGGAAGGGAGCGCCCCCCGTCGGTCCCAGAGATTTTTTCTATTTCAATCCATACGCATTGGGTTGTATGGACTGAAACAGGAAAGAATCTCTAGGACCTATGTAGTAGCTTAAGTAAATGTAATGGAGCTCAGATTGAGTAGCCTCTAGATTAATTCCGTCAAAGAAGCAATATGGAAAATAATCGAGTGTCTCGCAACTCACCGTTCAAAGAATGTAACAATAAAAATCAAAATAACATACAATAAATGGAACTTTCACAACTTCACTACAGCCATAATCATAATCCCTGCAACGATGAAAGCTTTGCGACCTTTATGCGTAAGTCAAACTTCACAATATATAATCAAATAGAAGTGAATACTTTACAGATTAATAACACCGATGATTTTTCACACTCATCCAATTCTGATTAGTATCTCCTACATACAACATTAGTTATTTCATAGAAATCTGGTTGTACTAATTCAAAATCATCTTCTCAGAACCGCTTGATAATGATGTTAAGACACTCTTCATCAATACTTGAATAGTTTGTGACTCAAAAAGCTCTTCAGAATCGAAACACGAGACGACCAGCGTCAATGAGGAAGAAGCGAAAGAGGCGAAAGAAACGAGAAGCGTAAGGAAAGTTCAGTGTTAAGAGCAATAAGCCAGGTAAGCGTAGTTATTGAGAATTTCAACGGAAGCATATTTAGCGCACATTACAGCCAACAACAGCGACAGACTGCTGCAAGGCAATGCCAGCCAGGTATTGACATAAGTTAGCCAGAACTATAGCTGCATGGACGATATTCTTTGAGGTGGCGTCATCTCGAGCTGCCGCTTCAGATTCCACTGCTTTGTGGCTATGGTATCTGAAAATAATTCTTAGCGAGGAAATAGTAAGGAAAAGCGCCAAATGTCTCATCAATTATACTCCTCTTCATTTTGCGTTTCGCCCATTTTTTTGAGCTCTCGATGTTTAGATAAAAAAAACTATTTATGACACTTTACTTTGAATAAATTGTCGCAGTCGCCATTGGATTACAGGTAGTGTCCAGGCAGTTCTATTAGGTGACCAGATTTCTTATGTGAAGACTGATGGGCTGCCTCAGATAAGCCAGTGCCCAGGTAGCACGTATGATTCATTTGTGACAGAGAAATTCCACTTTGATCTCTCGCCCAGTACCATACCTTTTCCGAACGAACCTTCGGCGTTCACAAGTACGGTATTACGCGGGAGTTCAGAATTGAATTTCTCAGCTACTATTAGATTCAACTGGCGCTTAGGTTAGCTTATTGTTAGTCGCGGAATCTCAATCTTATATATAAAGCTGAATGTGTGTCTGTCTGTATGTCTGTATGTATGTATCGTCGATTCGTTGACCGCACGGACTGCTCAAACGCTGCGGACCACGCGCGGCGCGGCTGAAATATTGCGGGAGCACGATTTGTGCAATGGCGAATTTTTACTGGGGCAAGCGTTTGCGTACTGCGGCGCGTGCTTCGCAGTGGTGTCCGTGCGGTCAAAGAATCAACTATATGTAGAGGCTACTGCATGACGAAGGCGCAGAAGCAGTGATAGTTGAGCAGGCGCGAACGCGACGCGCGCGTATTCTCACCGTTGTGGATCCTGCGCTCTGCGGCTAATAAAGCCGCGTTCGCGCCCAAAGATAATGCGCCTTCGTCATGCACCAGCCTATATGTGCGGAATAGAAATTTTTATTTCTGAACCGATTTGGATTTCGTCATCGATCAATATCTATTTTATCGATTTTTTTAAAGAAAGTTCGAGCTATGGGGCTGGGAGTTGGCAGGGGGTAATCGAGCATGCTGATTACGAATACAATATTAGTTTCTGGAATTATAGATTACTTTATCGATTCGATTTTTGCAAAGTTCGAGCTACGGGGCTGGGAGTTGGCACAGGAGGGTACGTGAGCAGCTGATTACGAATACAATATTAGTTTCCAGAATTATCGATTACTTCATCGATTTTATCGATTTTTGCAAAGTTCGAGCTACGAGGTGGGAGTTGAGAAGAAGTTAAATGCTCAAAATAACATACAGTACCCGGATCCGCCGCACAGGGTCTTCTTCGCAGGACCCACAAAAACTTGCAAACTTTCATCTACGCCTCAGCGCTCTTTTTCCGCGTCATTAGCTGAACCTTTCATGCCTCCGTTTACAATGCGTTTGGAAAGAAATGCGAATAAATTATATTAAGGTGCCCAGTCTGTGTTGCTCAGAAGTCGGGCTTGTACACTCGGAACACAGGGCTTTCTTCGACGTAAGGTGAGTGCATCAATTACATGGCTGAAATTGCCAGTCTTCTTCCTTTCATTCTTGTTAGCGGAAGCGTATTTTCTTCATTTCTCGGGCTTTCTCAGCGTGTTCAAGATTCTCGTTTCCCAGTATACTTTCAGCCTCCTTTTTCGCAGTTTGCATCTTTCGCAAAGCTCTTCTCTGCTTTCTGGCTTTCACTTCGGCAACATTCTTAGAAGGGCGAGCGTTCATTTCGCGTAGACGTTTTTTATACTCCTTGACTTGAGCCTTTGTGAAAGGTAGTGCTTACGGTTATGTTCCTTTCATCATCGACGAACCAGTCTGGGAGGCTAATTCCATTCTTCCACTTCCCTCGCAGATTTACTGGATTATACCAACCGCTCACCGAGGACCAGTTGCTCTGGTGTTAACCGACGCTTCTTTGCCTTAGGTTAATAATCTTCTCCCAATATAGTCTTGAAGGCTTCTCACTGGTTGTTAAATCATTGTTGAATCTACACGTGTATTCACTACCATCGAGAAAGCATCTGCTCACTTGAAAGGAGACGCTAAAAGGGTAGTCATCTCAGCTCCATCTGCAGATGCATCAGTGTTTGTAATGCGTGTGAACCACGAAAAGTACGATCCTGCCAGAAACCACAATGTTAGTAATGCTTCTTGCACTACCAACTGTCTTGCTCCACTTACTAAGGTTCAACGACAACTTCACAATTATCGAAGGACTTATGACTACTGTCCACGCCATCATGGCAACGCAGAAAACAGTCGATGGCCCATTTGAAAAGCACTATCGTGATGGACGTGGTGCAGGCCAGAATATCATCGAGAAGGTCGTCAAGGCAGCCTCTGAGGGTCCAATGAAGGGTATCTTGGGGTACACAGAGGATCAGGTCGTGTCGACTGACTTCGTCGGTGACCACAACTTTTTAATCCTCGATGCGGGAGCTTGCATCTCTCTCAACCCCAATTTTGAAAGCTGTCAAGCTTATTTCATGGTATGACAATGAGTCTGATAATTCATGCCGCGTTGTAGACCTCATTGCGTTCATTGCCTCGAAGGGCTAAGAAAGCGATGCTCCCGGTCCTCTCCTCTCAAGAAAGTCGTGGTTTTCCAGTGTTTCGGCTATGTTACTATGTTACTTGCCACTCTTTCAAGCGTACACTGCTTTATATAGATGTGTAGGGTCTCTTTCTAATGTATTTGTGTAGATTTGTAGTTGCAACCACAATTCCAACAACTACAACTATGTGCAAGAACTTGCCATACCTTTATCTGAATGTAGGGGGAAGTTTACAACTTCCTCAGCAGCTTATGGATATTGTTCTCAATAACTTCGAGAGCTTCGGAAAGTCTCACTGTTAGAAGTGCTTGTGTTCCATCCCAACGTCTAACTTTTAGTGCTGCAGTGCCGCGCCGTAACCTACAGGGCTTCAAAATTCGTTGCAAATGACCATTTATTTCCTTCTTGTAAAAGATGCATGGAATTTCTGATATTTGTCATAAAAAAGAAGGATGTGTAGGGAGACTAGGTTGGGCAAGACAACATCTTACCTAATCGTTTTGTATCCTACTGCTAGTGATCTAATGAAACATACAGCAAACAGTCATGAATCCATCCGTTCAATGTGTCCATCTCCTATCCGCTCATTTTGTCGCATATCGCAAGTCCCCACATGAAAACGTGCTTCAGCTTATTAAAGGACGCAGGGTACGGTATGTTATTTTGAGCATTTAACTTCTTCTATGGGAGTTGGCAGAGGGGGTAATCGAGCATGCTGATTACGAATACAATATTAGTTTCCGGAATTATCGATTACTTTATCGATTTTTGCAAAGTTCGAGCTACGGGGCTGGGAGTTGGCACAGGAGGGTACGTGAGCATGCTGATTACGAAAACAACACAGGGAACGGGAAAGAGTTGTAGAAGTGGACACGGGGAGAGGCTTTACAGGGATAGGGATGGGAACTTTATGACAGTGTTTTGACAGGGCCGAGCGGAGCCGGGTAAGCAAGCTAGTCAGTTATAAAAAGTTCATTAGACTTTTTTTCCCTATAAGCTCCTGCAAGACGAAGGCGGTTGGTTCGATGTGCAACGCGGCTGCAACACTGCTGCGTCACAGCTGCGTCACAGCCGCGTCACAGCCACGTCGCACATCGAACCGACCGCCTTCGTCTTGCAGGAGATTATACATACTGCTTTCAAAAGAAGAAAGTAGGTGACAAACTCAAAAAGGGATGGTATAGTATGTACATAATACAGGATGTCCCAAAAAAAAGTAACATTTTTCAATCTTCCCATTGTGTCTTTTTCCGCCATTTAAGTACCATTCTGTAGAGGAGGCTTCAACTTAGATCTACAGTATCGAGCAAATCACCGATCGCTCTTCATTGCTGTGGGATTACTGTAGGAATTTCGACAAGGATTTTGAGCATTGGAATTTATATTCTGCCTCGGAACAAAACCAGACAAGCCAAAAACTGTTATACTATGGTAATAGAAGCCGCTGATTTCGAATATGAAATTTCCACTTTACTGTGTGCTTCTTTCCACAGCTATCCCAAGTAAACATGTAATTACACCGCCAAAAAAGCTGGAAACACTCGTAAAAAGTTTAGTGGAATCAGCGTGCGCGAAAACCCTAGTGTAAGATTTTTCAGATTTTTGAAAAAAATTTTGTCAGATGGCATATTTCACAAAGGTTCCACATGCTGGAAGTTCTTACCGTAACCCCCACAAAAACGAATAGCGATCGGTAATTTGATCGATACTGTAAATCTAAGTTGAGACCTCCTCTACATAATGGTACTTGACTGGCAAAAAAAGACCCATTGGAAAGAGAGATATTGACGATTGAAAAGTGTGTATGGGCATTCGAAAAATCTTGACGATGGCGCGACCGCGCGCAACACGCACGCACTCCCAATTCTTGGTTCCTATCTCTACTCAAATAGTTTTTCTGTTTACATGTGATAGTATTCAGGCACTGGAAGTGAGCGGGCGCAGCGTTCAGGTGTTGCCTGTTTGTATGGGTGTTTTATTCTCTCAGATACTTTCTCCGGCTGGTGACCGGGCGATGACCGGCTGAGGCAACACCTCAATTCCGGGCGAGCCGGCCGCCGGCCGCCCGCCAGCCGGTGTTTGCACGCAAACGGCGCGGACGCCAGCCGGCTTTCCAGCGCAGCGGATTATCGGGGCACGACCCGCCAGGTTTAGTTTCGTTGACTATATTATTATTCTGGTCATATGTGTTGTACAAAAATCTCTTATAATATTTTATTCGATATCTACAAGCGGGACAACAGAGAAGACACGAATTATGTTCAACATATGTACAACATACAACATGTGTAAACACAATATTAAGAACATATTGCATTACATATGGTGCATTCTCCAAAACTGTTCCCATCGGAACTTCAACGTGGCTGTCTTTCGATCATTTCAACAGTCAGCTTCGGATAAGCGCCTTATTTGCTGGAGTCAACGCGTTGAAATGGTCGAAAGACAGGCACGTTGATGGCTTATATGGGAACAATTCTGGGATGCACGACACAAACAGTGAGCAAATCCGCATGTAGACTTGAGCTTAGAAACTGAAGCTAGAAGAAACGACTCCGCTCCCAAGATTCGTGACACGTATCTCACAAAAAAGTAAGAAGTCAGCCGCGTGTACCTGCAAATAAAGATAATAGGGATCTTATGAAAATGAGAGCCAACTGCAGTAGGTTACATTCATTACAAGTTCCAACTCTAAAGAGGAAGATTGAGCAAGAAACAAATTGCTCACCTGTTGCAGTATGCATGGACAACACCGATGAACAGACTATTTATTTCCATATGTATCCACTTATTTTCCCAACCATCAATAAATAACCAACCACCAAATTGTTAGAGCACTTGTTATATAGACAGAATGTTCTCCGGAGCAGACAAATAAGCAGATAATCCAAGCTCAACCACAAGAAACTCCATCATTAGCAGTCTCAAGCATTTCAACTTGTGAACTAACGCACTCCAATCTGAAAAATGTTTGAGGATATGCTGATCGATAAAGAAATGTCAAACATGTACCTATGAGGGTCCTCCTTTTTCGTGGGGATGGAAGCAGACCAAATGACCAAATAACAAAGGGAAATCATATGAAAACACTAATAAACATTTTTGAGCACAAACAATATGACAGTTTAGTGACGACATGGAAGCTTTCCTAGTCTGCTGAAACTGAAAACAAAGATGAACGATGAAACATGACTACACACGAACAGCATGTAAATAAAGACACAGTACCACAAAAATAATCACGAAAAAACAAGAATCAAAAGGTCTTGTAAGGCGCGTAGTGATGATGAAATCGCATGCTCACTATTGAATCTGAAGGTATTCATGATTTTGTGCGCCTTCGCGCGCTTTTGCGGACGCGACCGGAAGCCAGCCGGTGGTAGTTTCCAGCCCGCTCCTCGGCCGGTATTAGGCTCCGCCCCAAAACATGGCGCGGCCCTCGGCCGGAAGGCCGTCGTCGCCAGGTCACCAGCCGGAAAAAGTATCTGAGTCTTCTGTGTGCGTAAAGACTGCAATCACGTCGTTACGATTTTAATGAACCACACTTACTTAGGACACCCTGTACTCTTGATTTTCTAGTTGTGTCCCAAGCGAAAAAAGAGATTACCACTGCAAAAAAATTTTTCTGCCCAAGACTGTGCACGGATTGACAATCTATCTGTGACTTTGGAAGACCAAAAGCAAGTCCAAACCTAATGCCGTGCGACCTCCTCCCTGAGCTGCCAAACGGACGTCCTCGTAAAAACGAAGTGATTGGGGTAAAAGAATCATCACGTGGAGAGTCGGCAAGCCTCAAAAGAGACTATTACCAAATGTTTGAATTATGTTCACATTTATGTGCAATCGCAAACATTTTCAATGTGAATAAGTGAAAATCGGTTTCTTTCACTTTGAAAGAAAAGAAGATGAAAGAAAAGAAGATATTACCGAGCAATATATCCATCATTATAGCGTTCCATCTTCTCCGCCCTACCGTTTAGCGTGCGTAAAGCTCTACCAACATAGACATCCAAACCTTCGATACCAGTTGCAGCAGCGTCAACACGATCTTTCAACTCAGACAGCACCTGAAGATATCCATTTTCATGCATTTTGGAATGAATAGACGAGACATGGTAATGAAGGCCTTAGCTAGTTGCAATCGTGAGGGAGCTATTGAGGTTGAGAAATTAGAACCTAAACATTTTATCCTAAGATTCGGTGTCTAACCGACCATCTAAGGAATTGCGTGAAAAATAAATCAATTTTGAAGAGAGAAATTTTTGCAAAACACGAGGTACCCGAAAGTGTAAAAAAATTTTTAGCGGAAATTTGTACAAAAAACGCTAAAATCTTACCTGAATCAGATGTGGAAAGCCATCACTAGCTTTGGTGTTAAAGATGCTGGCGACAAGCACGGGCTGTGGATAGGCAGCTAATGAACAAAGAACATTAGCCAGTTGTAAGTTAAAGGCTAACGAGTGTTCAGTCATTTCTGCCAACTGGGTGAGCAATGAGTCGAGGAACAGAGATCCATCTGAAACCATGAAATGACGAAGAAATCTGGGTGTAACTCCTCAAACTAACCTTGCACGGGACCAATGGGTTGACCTCGTACTTGTATAACCCGCTCAGTCTCTTTCGTTTCCTTCTCAATCTTCGGTGGTTCCTCTTTCTCGATTTGCATCTCTTTCATGTATTGCAGCTTTGAATCAATGAAAGCCATTGTCTCTGCTGACGACATCTTCTGCTTGCTTGGCACGGTCCTTCGATCCAGAAGGGATATGAAAGTGTCTAAGTCCTGAATATCCTTTTATAACTGTATTTTGTCCAAACTAAACGCAGTTACCTCAACATCCGCCCAACCACTAAGCACAAATGATCTAGCCATCTCAGCCTCAGTGTCGAAACCTTGACCAGTGGTTGTTGATTCAGCCTCCGAGACCGACTCCTGTTTTTGACAGTCGATCTTCTTCCCATCAATTCGCAAGTCCTAAAGCTCAGAGTCACAAGCAAAGCCAAGAAATGCACAGGAGAAAGGATCACACTTTTTTATCCGAGCTGCTAGGAGAATCTTCACTTTCGGAGAGATCGTCGTAAGCTGCCAGTTGGAAATAATCGACCATCGATGACGTCATGATGGACGAGGTGCTAGAATTCGTTAATACGAACAAAAAAAAACTTCAGGAAAATTTCCGTCAATTCACTTGAGCTAATAATTACGAGAACTGATGCAAAAAGTCAAGAAAACTAGTGAGATACATACTTGATGGGAGGTAAGATAAACTCTGAATCTTCTTCCACAGGACTTATGCTACCATCAAGTGATCGAACCGGTGAACCTCCTAATTCAGCCAGAAAGCCTGGAAAGAATTCAGTTTTTCAAAGCAAACTAGCTGGAAAGTGATATGTTCTACCAGAAGAGCTCTCACCGACTCCTAGAGCGGAATCCGAGGTGAGATGTGTGTTCTTCGATGCAAAGTACCGATTCAGACCAAACGAAGCTGATGACATGGATGATCTACATGATGAAAGCCGCGTGAAAGGCTGAAAAAAAAATGCATTGAAAGAATCACTTATAAATAAATTGTTGGCTGGTTAAAAAAAAACTGAAGATAAAATTCTATCAAGGTGACTTTCCGAAACGGGCAAAAAAGTAAGAATGGCGAACTACCGTATGCAAATTCGGCTCATCATCACTGTCCCCTCGAAACAGCAGAGGGCTCGGATGAACACCATCATAGCGCCATTTCCATGCAGAACATGATCGTGCTCGTTTCTCCACTAATTGCGCACCTTCTTGGAGATATAAAGTCATAGTGTCTTCTGAGCAGATCTGCATAAAAGCAAAAGTCTTGACAATGGCTAAATCTCAATCCAAGGATTAATTACCTCTGGAAAAGTGAGCATACACTGAGGTACACACTCGAGTAATCGTTCTGCAGAAGTAACTGCTTGCGATCTGTCTCTGACCTTACTTAGCTGGGAGCGGCTTACGTGGGGCATGGGTAGAAGATGTCGCAGAACAAGAACTAAAAAAATACCTTCCGATAAAACCAGAAATGTTCGTGGAAAAAGAGCGGCAGACATCGTTTCATTTACTCAATGTGCAGGGTAAGTTCAATTTGAATGACTGAAACGACATTAACACTAATGAGCGATACAAAGCAAGGTTTTGCAAAAAACCACTTCATCTGATCATGCCTAGCCTCATAATATAAACAAAGACTCAAGAAACAAAAAGTATTGAGCACAACAGAGATTTGTCCAAAGAAACTAATTTTGTGAGAAAAAAAAGAGAATAAAAACCTGAACTATCGGGAAGTACGGTGTGTAGAATTACAAAGCTTACCTAACATCAAATCTTCACAACCAATCTGTAGAAGCGAATCCAACAAAGATAGGGAAACAACACCGAGCTGCAAAAATTTTCACTTTCACCGCAAAAATTCAAGAAAACAACACCGCAGCAAACCTTGTCTCCATTAGTTATCCGCCTTACGATCACATCAATCAGAACTTGACGATCTTCATCGAGTTCGAGTAGCAACATTCTTATAATTGTTCGAAGCAATGGTGCTTCTGTTACGGTTTCTACACATAGCTGTAGATAGACCGTAGCTGCCGCTACTCCTTCCTGTTCTTCCTAAGATAAATTCGGGCCATACAGAAATGGATCACTACATACCCTTGAGGCAAATCTCACTTGCAATAGTGCTGGTTTAACGACAGATATGAGAAAACCAGAATAGAAAAAGTTGCAAATCTGTTCGACAACGGATGGATGTGCAGCCTGAATGGGAAATATGTCGAATTAGATGAAGAGTGATGTGCGAATGAGCGATGTGTCTCAAGGGTCAAGAACTTGATTTGCAAAACAGTTGATGAAAAATCTACAACGACAAAAAAGGGTAGCATCATGATTAGAAACCAAGTCTTCGAATGTAAAACTGACCTGAACTACAGCATTACAAAACAAAAGCGATGAGTGGAAATTAGCAAGCGACTCTGCTGCATGATCCGGTACAATCCTTTCCGCTCCATCACCGGTTAAGATACGACCCAACTGTGAGAAGCACCCAGATAAGCCAGTAGCCACAACAGGGCAGAAGGCACTCTAGAATGCTTCATTGGAAGGAGATACAATATCTCGAGAAAATTATGCAACCAACCTTGTAGGCAACAAACTCTGCTATAGGTTCATGTTTTGCAGAAACAGAAAGAATGAGTAGTAAAGCATCACGTGCGAGTTGGCCTACGTCGTTCTGGAGATAAATAAAACATGTTTTGCTATACAATAATATCTTTACGAACACATTACCTGTTCATATAGAAATGGAATAAGCAGGGAGAAGACAATAAACTGGTCAGCGCCATCAGTGCAAGAAAAGAAAAAATGGAGAAGTGTACGATCCTCGGCTAATTTTGTACAGATCTGAATACATTTACGTGTTTGCTTGAAGGGAAAATCATGGGAATAGTCTAGGCGTTATCTTGCAATCTCACTTCCACTTTTCCAACCCCCCCCCCCCCACCAGTTACTTCTATGGAAGAAAACTGTGAGGTCACAAAGAGATTAATTTGCTCTTTCTTCAAGATCACTCAACTTAAAAATCTAGATTCATAATTTATACGTGACAGTATGAGGGGGGAGGGTAGAGTGGAACAAAACATAATCCTTTGCATCCGTAGTAAATTTAAACTAGAAAACATAAGCTAACCTGGTTGAGTAAAACAACAAAGTGCTTTTCAGTGGCAGATGGGTGCCCTAATTTGTGGGGCCGCAGTCCATCAGCACGCTGACACCTCAAAGACAACTGCCATAACTTTATGCACCAAAAATCTATCACAACTACCTACCACTCGAACAACCTCAACAGAGGATTCAAAATTGGTTTATGTACCAGCAAACAGTGGTTTTGGGTATGACTCTCCGAAATTATCAACTCATAGATGCGGATAAGTGCCAGCTGAAACGACACATGAATGATCAAAATCATAAAATTGCTGGGACAAACCTGGCATGTTGGTTTCAAGAAATCCGGAACCTGGATGGCCCAATCAAGCACTCTTTCTACAATCTGTTGAGTGAAATAGCGGTCGAGTATTGGTCCAATCGCCGGCTCTGGCTGCGCATTTACTTCCATCATTAGCAGCTGGCACATACGAGTCAGCTGAGCTATCAGCTGGGTCATCTAAAAATCTAATAAAAGAGAGAAAAGCTAATCCTATGTTCTGACTAAAAAAATAAAGGAGGAAACGGCAAAAAAGAATGCAGATAAAAACAAAATCATCTGTGCCGAACCAAATTTGCACTTTTCAAAGCATATGCTGTGTGCAAACAGGCGATTAAGATTTCCCAGTACGCAAGTGAGCGTAAACGAAAGTGGACAAAAAACTCACCTCATTGTAGGTGATATCGTGTTCGGGACTGCTTTCCTTCTTATCCAGAATTTTCTCTGCATCATCCCAACACTCGTCAAATTTACGTTCCCATTCAGTTGGATCAGATGCGTATGCGACACTCCAACTCTCCGGGACCGCCTCTATAACAAAAAGAACATTTACAGCAATCTCAGAAAAAAATAAAAAAGCTGAATAATCATAACCAAATCGCTTTGAGAAAACAACGATTCTATCAAACTGTCCAAAATACACCTTACCTTTGCGCGGTGATCCATTCAGAGTAGCCGGTGTAGTGGCAGGCGAAGGGCTTGGAGAGCCCAGCCGTGACAACCACCGTATCATCGAAGTCTTTCATGCACTGTAGACTTCTAAACATAATTTTGAATCGTATTCTCTATAGCAAAATCATTACTTGCATATATTGGAAAGAAGCCAACTCCCTCATCAATATGAAGAACAAAAAAAAATGAAACTTCATCAACAATAACGATCAACAAGCAATGTAACAAATAACATGAGAGACGTGATAAAAATTTCACAGTTCTAGCTGATTCGTCAAAATCTTCAGCTTTGCTGGGTGATAATATCTCGATGTAGAATTTCGCAAGAGAACCATCCCTCCAGTTTTGCGGACTTCTTCCAAGACGCAAAAAGGAACATATGAAAGTGCTCTTCCAGATGCAGCGTAGAATGAGAAGTCGCCACGTACGATTCTGCCAATGATCAGCCTGAACGTACGAGACATGAAACAAAGTCAAGCAGAATTCAAAAGCGTTATCAAAAAAGAAAGAACCAAAATTCGAAGCTTCAAGAAGGATCCGCAGATTCTAATTCCTAAGACGGAATCATGGGCTTTACAACAGCACCTGAAGTGCCCTTTACCACGCATAAACTGCAGAAAAAGAAGATGTGGAAGAAGTTGCTCAAATTTCGTTTTTTTTGTGTAGAGTCACCAAAATTAATTTTATGACCCGGTTCTATCCGAGCAAATTTTGTGCGGCTAGAGAGCGTCTCTATCGAAACTTATGATTTTCAAACAAGCTGAACTTGTTATGACATTTCTCTCACTTTCACTTTTGATAGAGACGCTCAACTCGCACAAGATTTTGCTGAGAAAAAGTGGGTTTTAAAACTTATAATAACTAATGTTCCAATTATTTTTGCGCAAGTTTCAGATTTTTGGCGACTCTGCATAGGAAAATCGAAATTCGAGTAATTTTCTTGCACAGCTTCTATCTCTCCAACTTGTGCGTGACAAAAGGCATTACAAGTGCTGATGTGAAGCGCATGATCTGCTTTTCTGGAAAAAACTGATATTGGCGAATTCTTCCAGAAAAGAAGTTATGAATTTTTGTGATTGGTGCGAAAGAACTTTCGGGCCAGCCTGATAAAAGTGAAATATCACCATCAACTTTTGTCGCAATTTATTTTTTTTAACCACCCAAAATTCACATTCAAGTGGATAACATTTACTGCTCGCAATATATTAGGTCGTTCCGAAAGTAATGTCGCTTTTTTCAAACGCCACATCTCGTGGAATAAAGATGTGTAGGAGATTCTGGTAGCATTTGGTGCAGCATTTCATTCTCATTCTAAAGGTTATATAATCACTGCATAAATTTCAATAACCTCTCGAAAAATTATCAAAATTTGCGACCCATGCTTATTGAGAAGGCCAAGTTTCACAATTTTTCTAAATTTTTATAACAACACTCGGAAGGAGTCCAAGTAATGGATGGATAGAGCAAACCCTCTAGGAAACAGCACAACTTTTTTCTACTTCCCAGAGCTCGTCATAATTTTTGTTTAGATTTTTATTGGAATACCGAATTTTGGCAGGCTCGTCTCAGACACAAATGCACCAAACACCAAGAAATTTTTGGGTTTTGAAAATTGTGAAGATGGATTATGGTTTGAAAACAATTTTACAAACCAAATGAGCATTCACCGCTTCAGATTAGCAACTTTCGAAAATTCCAGGTACAGCTTGGGGCGCCCTGGAAAACCCGAATTATGATGATTTTATCACACAAAATTTGATGAATCGGAAACAAAAAATAACTGGTAGAAAGAGGAGAAAAAGCTGCGTCGAATGGCATCCGAGTTGCTTGCCGGTTCTGTGAGGTCTGAGCTGACCAAATATGGAATCTGATGGCATTGAAAAATTGATTCCAGAAACTCTAAGAAGTAAGCTAGAGAAAAGAAAAAAATTTTTCTGTGTCCTATAGGGTTTGCTCTATCTACCAGTCACTTGTACTTCTTCGGAGAATAGGTACAAAAATTTGGAAAAATAGCCGAACTTGACCATAGCAAAAAGCATGGGTCGCAGATTTTGGTAATTTTTCGAAAGGTATTAAATTTTGTGCAGTGGTTATATAACCTTTGAAAGGAGGATGAAATGCTGCATCGAATGCTGCTAGGATCTCTTGAAAATCTTGATTCCATGAAATGGGACGTTCATTTGAAGAAAGCGACATTACTTTCGGAACGACCTAATATTAGAAAAAATAAGAATTTCCAAAACTAAACCTGTTAGCCGACTCGCGATAGGTAATCCTATCCTTTTCGTCTTTTTCTGCATTCAGCTCCTTCAATCGTTCTTCTCTGTTCTCGAGCTTCCTTTTCTTGTTCTCTCTTTTCTTCCGATTCAACAACCTTCGCTTCAGTGACCTAGAACGATAAGAGACTTTTATGGAAGGAAAACAGCAACTTGTAAAGCCCACTTTCGACCATAAAAAAACTGAAGAAAAACGACTTACTTATCAACCACCTTGGTGTCAGGAAACAAATCTTTCAGTGGTATTGGTTTCTCACGAGCTGACTGATCGAGTGACACCGTGTCCTTCCAAATGTCATTTTTCTTGATGAGCTCCTAAATGACTATGAATAGAATATGCATGAAATAAAAAGAGGCGCCTAGAAACAATACCTCCACTTCCATTGATGTAGATTCAGCGCCTTCTTTGGCGTCTCTCGGAGGTTGGATAATCATTACCGGGCCGGTTTTGTGACGATTTTTGATCTGAACCGCAAAAAATTTATTTCATAAAAACGGTTCCAGCAGATAGTTTCATGCTTCACCTTCAACATATCTTCTGCAGTTGGGAGACAAACAAGACCATAACGCTTAGGTCTACCACGAGCCAAGCATTGCAATTCTACTGGGACTAAACCGCCAAAGTATTCGCTCAGCGCACCATCTGAAAATTTCAGTTTATTCAAGTAAAATTTGGCGCTGACGTCAAAAATCTCAAATCGTTAATTTTGATAGTTTTTATCCAAAAGATTATAAGCCATGCTAAGTAGCAATAATGCTTGGTTATGGATATCATCTATCATAACTTATAATAACGGGCTAAGGTTGTTTACGTGTTTTTGTGTGTGTGTATGTATGTCTGTGTGTCTGTCTGTAACGAAATTCGTAGAGCGAGTTCCAGCCAGCGTCCTGAGCCCAAATTTTGCATATCGCATGCGACCAACATAAGAGCCTACCGTGCAAAAGCACGAGTGGTTTTTTTGGTTGGATCCCTTAGAAACTGCGCGTCAAACGGAACCACTTGGGTTCTGGCCAGCAAAATTGGTTCCGTATCACCATTTTTGCAAAGTCGGGGATGTGCTTGGTATGCTGATGTGCAAGCCATGGACTTTAGTCCATAAAAGTGGGCAAAAGTTTACTACTTTAGGAGAACGACGCCAAAAAGAAATGGTTGCGTAAATGACTAATTTGACATGGTTTTACCTGAGCATTCGAGAAAAATTTTGCACAGAGATGTAGCTCACGTTGCCTACTGTCCTTATGGTAGCTACCAAGCCAGAAAGAGTCCAAAAACCTATTCAAATTCGTATTTGTTCTTCTGCGAAAAGTTTCATCCACCCGAAATCACCGATCTCACATGAAAAAGCATTTTAAATGGGTAGATGTTTACATTTCACTCGCGATAATCGGCACTGCGCGGTGAATTTCATTACCACCATTAGTCAAGAATGAGTAAGGCATATGAAGTAAGACCAGTGCGAGCCTCTGCGAAGCAGAGGTGACGCACTGGTATATATATAAAACTCAAAAATTGTCAGTTTGGAGGGTATGTGCGTTATAGAAATGCGCGCCGCTCAAGCAATTCAGCTGAAACTTTGCACACATATGTTTTCGACCCCTGCGCAGATGATAGGCTACTTTTTGCGGCGATTCGTTTGGTCCTTCTTTCGATTTATTGATTTGTTTACGTTTTTCTAAGGAATTGAAGGCTTATCATGTTCAGTCAAGCATTTTCCCATAATCTGTAAAGGAGGGCGGTGAAGCTCATTTTAACCTCATTATCACGAGGATGCGGTTTGAAGCGGATGTCCCTAGGGTAAGTCATCCATAACATATAAGGGGGGGGGGGGGGGCTTGCAGTGCAAGTGAACGGAACAAGGCCCGGGCTGGACCGGGAAAGCCAACTAGTATATACATATAAGGAAGAGTTCCGAAGTCAGCTCGGCCAACCCGTATGAGTCATATATCACCGTAACGGGCTTGAAACGCGTATTCTAAATATGTTTTCGTCGTTTTCTGCGGAACAACTCTACAAAGGAAGTTATCAGCGTTTAAAAGTCCGAGTTTGTCAAGTTGAGTGGCGTAAAATTGGTGAAAGCTGTACAATATCACCTAGAGTGGGTTTTCAGTTTTGTATTATGTATACTGATTATAAGGACGGAAAACAGCCAGTGGAAGTTAGCTAGGCGTTGTTCCGTTAATTTTATAAGCCACTTCAGATATGACAAATTCAAACTTTTGAACCCTCATAACTTCTTTCTAGAGTCGTTCCGCAGAAATGGAAAGCAGATTTGGAATCAGCATTTCAAGCTCGTTACGATGACGTATGACTCATTCGGGTTGACCGAGCTGACTTGGAAACTCTTCCTTGTTTAGCACGGTTGCGTCTCTTAGTGTGGAGATACAATAAATATACGGTAAGTGGGCCAAAGTCTCAATTCTCTCAAAACTCTGTTTGAGAAGTTTTTCAGCAAGCTAATTACAATGTTATTTACGGTGTGTTTTCTTGATTGCGCGATAGATGGGTGGCATGGCCACAGCAGTATGTAAGAAAAGTCTCACCGACACGGCTCGGCACAGGTGGCTTGTAAGCCAGCTGGTATCGTTTTTTGGGACGAAAAGCAAAGGGGGTTTCGTTTTTGTGACCGAAGAGACACGGAAAATTGGCGACGGCGACCTTTTTTTTTAGTCGACGTTTCGTTTTTTGGGGGATTTTGGGGAATTTTTCAGGTTTTTAGAGGAAATTTGGTTGAGGGTCAAAGGGGACTTCGTAAAAATTCCCAAAAGTCAAGGGGGACTTCGTTTTTTCCATTTTGATCTAGCCACCTCGTGCCGAGCCCTGCTCACCGATATCTTAGTCCTGGTAGCACTCTCACTGTCCCTAAGAAATTTGAGCCAATTGAGATTATGACACATCTACCATAACTTTACAAATTATTAAATAGAGCTACATACCTAAACATGATAGTTATGATCATCGTGCCAGATGACAATCTAATATATAAAGAATCTAATATATAAAGAATCGTAAGCGCAATTCAAAAATGTGCACATAGCGGGAAACCACGTGGCGGTCCCGTAGTGCGCGCATGCTACTAGCACCTTCAATTGCTGGTGCACTAGTATTGGAGAAAAATTTGGGAAAGGTAACGTGTTTAAGTACAGATAAGTTTATGGACTAATCCCAAACCCGATGATTCGTAGCGAAATAATACCGTAATTACGACATGTAGGTTAACATGAGCTCAATGGGTGTTCGATCTCACATGAGTAGACAAACAAAAAAGCTAAAGATGCCGCGCGTGAAACTCTGTCGCATATTGTTGACTCAAGGTCGAAGACCAAGTGGATAAGCAAAAGAACTCAAACAGTTCGCACCATGCCTCAGGGCGAGAAACTAGTATCGGCGCTTCGTTAACCCAACATTTGACAAACAGACTTTTTGCTATAAAAGCTGCCAAAGAAGCTAAGAAATCAACCTTCGACTCACTTGACAATGCTCTTCAAAGCGTAAGTTACTAATGGCTAGTTACCGTAACCCCTTAACCTACTTCTTTAGCCTCCTCTTCGTCGCTATTGCTTGCGTTCTGGCTCAACAGATCGACGCTCAATGGTATGGTGGTTATGCTGCTTATCCCGGATATGCCGCTTACTCCTCATACTATCCAACCTATGCTGGTTACTACGGTGGTCTCTACACTGGTTTGAGCTACCCAGGATATGCTTACTACGGCTGGGGAAGCAATAAGGTACGCATCCAAGACTACAGCACACTTTCCCCCAGGAAAAAATGAAGAAACTTTCAGGGAGGAGCCCCAGAAGCCCCAGCTCCAGCCGGTGGATCTCTCACAAACAACGTACGGCAATAAATGTGCAATTTCCAAATTTTTACGCCAAACAATGCCATTTTTCATGTACATTTTTGTACAAATAAAGAAATTTGAACGGATATAAGACTATTGAACGCAAGAGTAACGTCATTCATGAACAAAACAAGGAACAGATGCCGAGATACGGATATCCCACAAGAAGCAATTTCAACATTTTATAGCTCGGAAAACTTGATAGTCAACAAAGCAGCATGCAATGATTCATCGATTTTTATACAAACGCTTCGATTGTTGGGCAATCGAGAAGAAGAAAAGGAAGCAGTGACAAAAAAGGTAATAAAAAAGGGATAAAAGCTTGATTATTTCAAGAGAGAGTCCCACCACATGAAAGTTTTTCACCCTAAAAGAAGATATTAATACATAATCTAGAAAATGTAATAGATTAGCGGCAGCAAATCGTCTACGATGAAAACTGAATGTAAATCTATCAAGAAAAAAATTAGCGATTCATGTGATACAAATTTAGTGATAACGCGAGAAACGAGATAAACGAGAACGTATTTCAACAGCACGTAGAAGTAATAATAAGATCTTGTGACTGAACCTCAGAAGAAGAGCTAAATTTATCCGTACTAAAATTTGCGCAAATTGCATGATAGGACAAAGAAGTGAGACTAGGTAGTCTGTCAAGATATCTCCTTGCATACGAGGTCTGCTAAGGCTTGGGATGCGTACTACGAAGTTCTGAGTCACTAAATTCTCGATTCCCATCTCTTAGGTTGTGTAACAAGCTCTGTCGTATTTTTTTAGCTTTTTCTCAATGATATCTACTTTATCAGAGTAAAGTGTACATGCTTACGAAAGCTCTAAGCCGCCCTGCAATCTCACGTGCGTCATCCCTCTACTTAACAGAGGAATGAAAAAGGATTTGGCATCAAAATAAAAAATCCGAGTGGGCAAAAAATCCATTTTCGACATTTTTACCCTTTTAATTCCTGTTTCGAATTAATTCCTATTTCGAAATTGGTAAATTTTTCAAAAACCTTGACAACAAGGTAAAACAACGTAATAACTTTTATGTTTACTGCCACTGTTTGTGCTTATTCCCTTCCTTCCACCAACTTTTTAACGCAAATTTTTCAAAGTCGGCGATGCAAGAATTTGCCGGGACGATGTTCGTAGCCTCGCGTACCGCTGTGTGAGCCCCAAACTTTGAATTTTTGGGTAAATAACCTGTAAATTCGATGATTTTGTAGCCATAGACCATCCCTCTTGCCTCTTCTAAATTATCCGTCTGCCTTCCTTCAGGACTGCTTTCAGACAGCCAATGTCAACTTTGAAGAGACGTTAGAAAGAAGGTTTTTTGAGTTTAAAGAAGAAATTTTCGAAACTTTTTAGCACCCCCGAACTGCTGCTGCAGCTATAGCACTCTTTTCATATGTACAGCAGATTTTTTGCGCAATTTTGTACGCAAACTATCTAACGCAAACTAACCTATATAGAGAGCGACGTAATAAGTTATCGAAAATGGAATTTTTCCCTTGGTTTTCAAAACTTAGTGCTTTGAAATCTTCTCAAATCTCCCGATGTAAGAAAGTGAAGTAAGATTTGGTAAAGCAAGCTTAGAGCTTTCTGCTGCATTCGTTCTGCATAGCATTTTGCAATACTGAAAAAAATTGGAATTGCGACAGTTGTTTCACAACTCAGTATATCTTGATTTTGCGCCCAAAATGGGCAGCACTTGCGCTCAACGAGACTGATGATAAAGGCTGCCAGTGAACATGTCTTGACGGCATTTCTTTCCCATTTTCTCCCAGATAAAGATAGCAGCGCTACGTAGTCCATATAAGCTGACTGTAAGGGACAGAGTAAAGAAAACAAGAAAGTATATGGACTGTTATGGTAGCACACAGAACGTGAGAAAAAAGCAGACTGAAATGCAACCGTTGACAATCAACGGCTTTTAGCAACTCAGAGATCATCTTTTGAGAAGATGTAAGACGAAAAAAACCAACAAAAAAAGAAAGAGCAGCTTCAATGAGAATTTTGCTGACGATGTATGACATTCAAAAAAGTATGTGAGTGAGAAAAACGAATACAAAATGCTTCAGCGATAAGACGGCCTGAGATATCATAGCAATTGTAAAACATCACGCAAAATTCTATGACTTCCGACGAAATCATTCCCACTCTTCCATCAGAATTACAACTAATCAGAGGTCAATTTTCAGATGACAAAGTACGAAGATAACCGTAATTGATAATATATAGTTTGTTTTTGAAAAAAAGGCTTGAGTTGGTCACAAACCTTGAAGCTTTCCTTTTCCATCCATCCACTTTGACAGCGATAGGAGCAGCCGGCGGTCTCGCAAAACGAACGGTTGTGTTGCAAGTTCCTTCCCCTAAAGAATTGGTCTAAAATGTTTATTCCACTTCATGGAGCGGATACCTTGACTTTCAACCAATCGTTGAAAAGTTCCATATATTCAAAAGAGAATGGGTATTTTACTGACATTTTCTTCCAATACTGTACTCGTCGGTTATGTGGTCGTTTATCGTACTTCATCTAGAACAAAACTTATTAAGACCTCAACGATAACACATAAAAAGCAATTGAACCTCAAGTTCATTCTGCATTCGGTTGATCTCATCTTTCCCTGCCTTAGAATCCACAACATCCGTTGGGTAACATAACCTTGACGCTTCCAGATGTGCTGCCAATTCATCGCGCCACCCAGAGGCGCGAGCAGTGCGTAATTGCAAAGCCACCCAAAAATCCATACCTGGAAAAATTGTGACGATCTCATTAGCTGAGCGATGAAATAGGCAGAATATACATGCCAAATCCACATGGTACGATGAACTCGCATCCAGACAAGGTGTCGCCACGTCCAGTTCCTCCATTACGAATCACAACGAAAACGGGAATCTGTCATGGGGGTGTTAATAGGCTCCGCTAAGACAATTGCAGATAATCACAGCATCTTTTTACGAAACTGTCCCAAAATTACCTTGGCTTCCGTTTCTTTGATCTGGCCAAGACATTTCCCTTTCAACTTGTTCAATTCGGAATCGCTCATCCTGAATAAGATTTCTTATAGAATCTCGTCCTATAATCAGCAGTTTGAGAATGAACACTGAAACATGGTCAACATTTGGAAAGTTAGCGCCAAATGCGCATGCCTACGACAAGTTCAACAGGTATAACAAAGCGAAAATTGAGAATTGATTATTGTAAAGTATCTAGCTAGGGCAAAACATGTTGCACGATGTTCTCACTTATGTAAACCATCAAAAATTCACGTGACCTTCTTAACGGAATGAGAAGCTCCACTGCTAGAGATATGATTTGCAAACACATAATCGAATACAGGTATGTAGAGCTTTAGAAAATAGATAAGCACCTATCACCTAGCGCTTTCAGGCGCTCTTCTTTGTCCCAAAATGTCGCTCGAGGGACAACTCGACGTTCCATAATAGGCTCATCATGATCGCTTCGAGGAACCTGAAAATTTAATTATCATCAAAATGCCACAAAATAAGTAACAGAACAAGGAAGCAAACTCCAATACTGTATGCAGTGTAACATCCATTTAGAGAAGATAAACCACCTCCTTCACACTTGGCCGCGATATTCGTGGATCCTCAACTAGAAGCGAGAATACGGAACCATCAACAGCATTGCCAGGCGAGAGCAGCGAGGCTGATTCACGCCATTCAATGTGATTTTCGCTGAATAATTTGACCATAAAACAGCCATGTAGACGTTTTTTGTGCTACCTAAATTGAGGCGCTTTCTCATCCTCGACCAGTTTAAGCGCATCCGCAACTATGGTAAGAGCCAAAGGACCGTAAAGACGAAATCTAACTAACTGATCGCGTAGATCTTGTACCTTTGAAATGCAAAGTTAATAACTATGGAAACTAAAATGAGCATTCCAAGACCGCTCACTTTAATTCCGTTCTTCCCACTCCAACAATCAGTGCGAACCCGCATTTTGCACAATCGCCACTCTTCCACAGTTCTAAGGATGAAGCTTTCCTAGATAGAAAGTTCTCATGAAGTTGTTCTGGACTGATTATTACCAGTTGCTCCTCGCCATTTGAATGTTGTTCGTCCACCAGTCCCAATAATTCCTTGATTACATCGAAAACCTCATCGCGACACGAAGGATGGACCCACAACGCCAAACTGAATGTTTGCCTGCAAGTGCAAAACCATGGTTGAGCAGTGCAAACAGGTTAAGTAAATAACTCACCCTTCTTTGCTCCAGTGAAAACGGGCCGGCCCAATATAACCATTGGGATATTGCGCAGGGTGATAAAGGTGAGTCGAAACCTATGGACACATGTTCAAATCATACAAGCCATACGATTCGAACTGCGAATATACAAGTACTAAGTACAGTTGTCCTCTTTCATGGTAAAAGAAATACCTTCCAAAATCCAGAAACCTCGTTAGACTAGGGAAAAGAAATAAAAAATGGAAAAAACAAACGATAGCATGAATCGTGACATGCTTTCAGCTCTTCTCCCACTGGATGCTGCTAACAGATAGGTGTATATGATCAATAAATAACTAACAGCCTTGATAAAGGACTACATAAAGAAGCGAATTCTCAACCCTATATGACTCCTCAGACTAGCAAAAATTCGTCCTTAACAATGTTTTCCATGCTTCCCAAGCTGCATTTGAGAGTAGACTACAGAGATAAATCTCAAACATAATCAGTGTTTTACGCATAGAAGGTATACTCAGAATTTCCTCACATGCTCCACCTCCACCACCAAAAGATACCAAGAAGATGCCACATTCATTACTATACGCCTCATTACTTCGCATGAAAGCCAAAAAGTGTGTCATCCACTGCACGACCTACCTCACAGATCCCGTTCAATCCGCTTTTGAATGCGAATGTGGGACTAGTTGCACCGGCGCACATAGGATTAAGTAGGGCAATGAGCTCCTCCTGATTGTTATGTGATATCTGAATGTTTCTCCCTACTGTTGCAATCACTCAAGAAAAAATAACGTACCAAAATGCAAGAAAGATAGCTCTTGTCACGGATTGTACAGTGTCTAACGGAATCACGATAGCAAGGCCGGAAATTGCGTTGGAAACTTCGGTCAGGCAATCGATATCCCCACCTAGACTTGACCATATTTAACTTTTTTTCTCAAAGACAGATAAATTGAACAAACCTATCGATGACGTGGAATCGTTTTGCATGCCAAATGTGTGTTTCAAGCCAAACCATCTTACGCTGTCTTCTTATGTAATTCTGAATCGTGCAATAAAGTTGGCGAAAGCTGGCTAATCTTAACATATACACCGCCGAAAGCAGTCGACTGACCAACAACAAGTTCCTAGATCTCCTGCGAAAAAATCTGCTTGGAGGTTTCTTGCGATGCTTTGAAAGGGCCAAGAACGGAGCAGCAAAGTTGCGCAAACCTTTCGGGAACCGGCGAACTTCGTAAGCCATAGCACGCCTGGAATATCATCGTAAACATTCAAAGGTCTCACAAAAAACAGAATACCATATGGTTTAGACGATCACACGCATATGCTGCACTGATTATAACTAACAACCGGTCAAGCAAAATTTGACATAAACTCGGCAGATTATGCACGATAAAACGAATTCATAAATTAAAAAAAAAATGAAGAAGCGATAGAAGCACCAGTATAAGCCGAATGGATGAGGAAGCCTAGCATACTCCGCAAACAACTCAACAAAAAAGATTAGGAAACAACCCACCTTCTCATATGACGTGGAAGTCTCTGTGCAGCTGTTCTTGGACCTTTGGTCACCTCACCCGAAACAAGATTGGAGTTGTCTACCACCTAAACACCACTCTCTGAGAAAAATATGGACATATCCAGAGTACCTGTAGAAGATCAGCCACTTGAGCTGCTCGTTCCTCGAGGTAGCTGTGCACTCTTACAAACCGTTCCTTAGACAGGTCTTCCGACTCCATCCTTCAAGTAAGACTGGATCTATTGAAAAGCGGTTATCGAATGATAAAGTACAGTGAAATCACATTGTAAAAAAAAAATCATGGGTAAGTATGAATTTATGTACGATAATAACAAATAACAACTTTGTACAACAATCCTGAACAAGCCTATTCGTAAAGAGATCTAAAATGATATATAATCACTGCTTTTCAACGTCAGCTTTATCTCCTTCAAGGGCAGCTCTTTTCTCAGCAAGTATTTCTTGTTGGATGCCTCGCCTCTCGTCAAATAACAAAGCATCCTAAAGTTGGTATCAATGACTGGTCAGTTTCGACTAGTCAACGAAAATGACGCTACCTGTTCTAGTGGGGTATCAATAATCTCTGCAACGAGCTTTTTACGCAGTTCTATCTCATCAGAAAACTCGTCTTTAATGACCCGTCTACCAGTGACAGGATCAAGTATGTTACCTGAACAAGTATGGGTTGTTGCAAATAATACTGCGATGGCGATAACAAGAAAAGCATAAATACAGTTAGCAATAAATAGATCAAAAGCGCACAAATTTTCTGCGAAAGAGGACAGAAACTGGTGTAGGCGAAATATCAAAGACAATGTTGTAAGAGCGTGGCACCACTCAGGTTCATTAGAACCAAGTTGAAGCATCTGTTCGATGAGTGAAAATTATAGAATAAAGAAGAAAGATGGAAAAATAAATTGCTCACCATACTTGAAAACTACTCGATCAATTGCATGAGCTACATTGGTAGTTGGCCGCTCATCCACGCCGATCCTTCGAATCAACACCATATCGCCCAAGCTTCCCTTTGATTGCCTGTAAAACAAGCATTTATTCGCCGTTGAAAAAAATGAGAAACCTACTTATCCAACGCCCAAAATTCGAATGAGCGGGCAAAGTATTTCTTCAGATATATATTGAACTCATTCATACTGCAGCGAACCTACAAAATGAAAGGGAGTATACATAGAAGATGATATATCAATCTTACCTGTGCACATGGAATTCGATTTATACCAATATTGCTTAGCTTGACTACTTTACCCATAAGCAACTCGGTTCCAACTCGAGTTTTGAATATAGATGTTTTGGGCATTTCTGCAAACTGATTTTGTACCTCGACCACGAATTTTTGCCGTTAAAGAAAAAAATATCATGATGCTATTGTTTTCGGATGCGATGGACATAGTGCGAGTGCAATAAATCGACTGTCTCCGTATACCAATCTGTGATCAGAGCCTATCAAATCAAAAAATGACACAGTCTCAAGACCAAAGCTGGGTAAAACTAAGGTGATTTCCAGGCATTTATCGCATAGATCAAAACTTCAGGATGCTTCAATAAAATATTAGAATAACTATGATAAGAGAGATTGATAATAGAAATCTCATAAAAACATTGAAGCTTGAAATTTATGAGAGGATAAATTTTGGTTGATAGGATTTACAACGATCCCGCGCAGCTGTTGACGCACGTATCAAATCTAACTGTACTTTTGATGAAAGCGCTTGAGCCTGAGGATAAGCTATGTAATCTGCATCTAGTTGTAAAAAAAACAAGGATTCCGCCACTGACTTCTAAGTTTTGCACGTCCCAGTGAATTAATCCAAGAACATGCAAAAATGACTGCAAAACATAAAAACTCAGCTGCATATTCAACTCTCATTGCGTTTTGTCATAAATGGTAAAAGCAGCTCTGTGATGATGTAAGTCAATTCTTTCTCCCCGAAACACGTCACAAGATTCCGCGCATGGACATTTCTCCGCGGTCCTATTCTAATCGTTCTTAGCAATAATTAGAACTTCATCATCGTAACAAACAGAACAATATTTCAGCGCTTTGAATCACTATAGCTTTTAGAAACGGCGAAAAAATGTATTATTAGTGAAGGAAATATGACGCAGGATCGCAATGGAACGGACTGCATTGGGCTACTCGCACCTGGCTGACGTGTTTCCTTTTTGTATAAGCAAACAAAAGAAGAAGAAAAAGGAACAATTCCATTGATCCGTCCATCTCTCTCTGAGCATTTGACTGTGAAAGTCGCCTCCCTTATGCATATAGAAGCTTTCACCCCGAACATATATCACTTTTGCAAGAACTAGGAGCCACCCACTAGAACAGAAAGTAACCTGCGCTTAAAATGATCTTAGTCAATCCGCAAATACCAGACACCACAAACAGGACGAATCTGAAAGAAATTGAAAGCAAGGAAGAATTAGAGAAATAGACTAGCATTTAAAAACAAAAAAAAACGTGAAATAACTTTCCGGTATTTGCTACCAGTCAACTAGCATCATTCCAATAACCTCATATATTCATTCCAGTAATAACATATAGAGATCACAGATACACCGAAGACAATTACATTATAGAAACTAGAAATTTAAAATACGAGCCTCATTCACGCAATGATGTAGCCATCTTGTCCACTTTCTTCAAAAGACTTGGATCTGTGACGCTCGCCATCCAATCAAGCATTTTCAAGTCATTGTTCAAGGTACAGAGCTTTGTCCTAGAACACAAACAAAAGTTTCCAGCGGCAATGCGAAACGATAATTCCCGATGAAGAAGAAAAACGAAGGCGAAGAGATTTAGAAATTTAAGTACCTGTTTTCCTCAAACTGTTGCCTCTTTTCCTTCAGTTCTGCAGGAGCATCGTCGACAGGTGGTGTCATATCGCTCATCCTCTTGATATAGTCTGTCGTATTTAGTCGTCTGTTACCGACCTTCTTCTCTATACGTATTCTGCAACGAAAATGTTCAAAAAATACGATGACGGAAACCAAATGCTGTTGTTTAGTAACCTGATTTCCACTAGCTTATCCATTAGCATCTGGCAGTACTCCAGCAATTGTTCCGGATCACCTGCAACGGGTGGTTTTCTCTCAGAAACTGCTTTGAGTGACATGCATAAGCTATGAGTTCTGAAATAAAAAAACTATGCAAGCAGACCCGACATAATCGCTAAATCTTACCTTGTCGTAAGCTCGCTTACTAACTCCCGACCAATTACTGTCAGTGTTCCGACAGAGAACTGATCGAGATGTTCGAGTATTTGTGGCGAATATGGAGGAGGATTCAAAGGTTTCTTCGTATCCTGAAAATTGACTACACTCTACCAAATCGAAGTAATTGAGATAAAAATCTTACTGGTTTAGGTGCACTTTGATGTGGAATCGGGTGAGCTCCAACACTGCCACCTGGATGTGCAGAGGTTCCGAGACCGGAACTACTGGGATAATTGGCAGCTGGAGCGCCGCTGAAATTTTGGCGAACATCAAAGATTCTTTCGAACAACACGTGCGCTGCATATAAGAAGAAAATTGCGCCTCAACATATAGCCGCCAATTTGCGCAATTGTCGCATGCATCTACAGGTCGTTGTAATCCTCGTAAATGCAAGACTAAAAAAGAAGCAGAGAAGGTGGCCACATCAAGCATTTTCTAGCAAAAATTGTAAAATTTGTTTCATTTGAGGAGATACATCACTACAAAATTTAAAAAAAATCAGTTGTGGAATGGATATCAGGAGCAGCAGAACGAAGCGAAAAACGGAACCACGCATAAGCACTAAACGAGACAACACAAACTCTACTTTTGTTCACGAATTACTGACATACATAGGAAGAAGTTAACATTACCTATGAGAGTAGGGATAACTTTGTTGTGTTGATGCACTCGCTGACTGCTGTTGCTGCGGTGCAAAACCACCCACAGAAGTCTGCTGCTGAGCAGGCTGCGGTTGACCTGGATAAGATTGGGGTCCCGGACCTTGTACTCCTCCCATTCCCACTGGCATAGCTGAGCTGGTTGAATAAGCTGCTGGAGCTGGAGCTGAGGTTCCGGAATACGGTCGAGATGCTGTGGCTACAAAGATTAGTTCTATGATGCTTGCATATCTTCCTTTATGGCAATAATCACTTACCAATAGCTCCTTGCGGTCCATACATGGCTTGCTGCATCATTGAAGGTTGTGGAGCCGGTTGAACAGGTTGCTGCTGCATCATCGGTGGCACACCACCTTGATAACCCATTGGCATGCCAGAAGAGCCACTCCCCACTTGAAACGAAATATTGTGCGCAATTTCAGTGAACTTTCCGAAAATGAACACTCACTCATCATTTGCTGGCCTGACATGCCCATTTGAGCTTGCTGACCTTGAGCCGGACCTGGCTGGCCGTAATAACCCATGCCAGGCTGCATTTGTCCTTGATTTGGGGGCGGATAGCCTCCAGGAGGCATGTTCTAAAAATGACAATGCTAGTCAGAAATCATAGCAATGATTCTGGAACTTACTGGATTGCCCATAGGGTTTGTATTCTGCATAGCGACCTAGAACGTAGAATAGATATAGAGGACGAAATAGCCACACAACAAGAAAAAGCGATATGGTATGCAGGAACACAGCCCTAGACAACCTTCGTATTCAACTGAAGGTTTACTCAAATGATGACAACGTGGAATGAGCGAATCATGAGGTACAAAACGCGACAAGCAAAAAAAAGAAGGGATGGGTTACACCGCGGCAATGTGACACCCGGATCATGATGTACTGGTGTAAAGCAAGTTGGTAAGAGAAGTGAAAAAACTCAACATACATATGAATTCAAAGAAGTGAAAAAGTAAGTAAGAGATCAAAATCAGTCTGAGAAAAATAGGATGCCAAGCAAACAAAAGCAAATTAACCAGCTACTGCTTTGACGCAGCTTCCTTGATCAGTCTTCTCGCACGGATGAATGCAGCTACTATTCCACCGATCTGTATTTTATCAGAAGCACCAACGGACAAACGTTGCTCAGTGTCTGCTAGAGCACTGATCAAACATATAATGACCTAAAAAAGAAGATTCAGTTCCAAAGCAACTAAGAGCCACACACTGAGCTCGCGATAATTTTGCAAACATATGAAAAACTGGACGGAATCTTAACTTTGACAACAAAATATGAACTGTTTCTCTTTCCTATGCCAAAGATAAAAAAGATATGGGATTAGGTCTGATAAGAAGACTACTTAATGCTACTGAAGCAGACAGCAAGTTCAGAGAGGATAAAGTAAATTGAGAAGCGAAATATAGGATCGAGAAGACTAGCAGCCATTGAACAGTTAGGGACCCGTCATACTTCGCCGAAAAAAGCTCAAAGAAGCCCGAAAAAGCCCAAAAGCGCCAGAAAGAGCCGGAACACTTCTCGCACGTTTTGGCGCTAAGGCATGTGTGTTGACTTCGCAATCGAGCCTTTTTGTCATTTTCTGTCGTCCGCATGATAAGATAATGTCAGAATTCTACCAAAAGTTCGTTTCTACATTCCGGCTCTTTCTGGCACTTTCGGGCTTTTTTGGGCTTTTTTGGGCTTTTTCGGGCTTCTTTAAGCGCTTTGGGCTTTTTTGGGTTTTTTTCGGCGAAGTATGACGGGTCCCTTAGATCATAATCAAGATAGTACAACGGAGGTAAACAAACGATAGAAGAGCTCAATGGTTCATGAAACGAGGATACTTACATTTGATGGCAAGTCTAATTGAAATATCACATCATGCAATCGCGAGATGATGTCCACCAGCGCATATCCCTCACCGCCACAATTTTGTTGCAGTTCTGAAAATTACACAGAAAAGAATGCACAACAGCAGTGAAAGTATGTAAACCCTGCGCAAAAAAACATCATTCTGACCATGGCACTTACTTCGACATGCTGATGAAAAAGTATCGTTCATCAAGATTTGCAAAATTTTCTCTATATGCTTTGGAGTAGGCTGACCAACACATTGATAGACAGCAGTCTCATCAATCTTCGAGAACGCCATCGAAGCGCTCTAAAAACTACCGATATGAAACGGATGAATCATACGAAAAGGCTAAATCAACCTGCAATACATTCAGCACACGGCGCATGTCACCGCATGACAATTTCAATAACGCCTCTTTGCCGGATTCCGTCACTGTCAGTTTTTCTTGCTCGATCTAAACTTATTGGAGCAATTGGAGCGTAAAGGAATGGCGGCGTATTTGTGCAAAACAAAAACCTACCACGTACTCCAATTTTGGCACAATGTGCTCGAGAGACAGTGGAGCAAAACGGAATCTAGTGCACCTAAACTTAGCAATAAGCAGTGCTAATGACAGGTACAGAGATTTTTTACTAACCTGGATTGGATTGCGGGAATGATCGATGATAGATAATTGCAAATTATACAGAATCTCACATTTGCTGTATACTTTTCGATAACCCTGAATCGGTAAGGATAGGCGAGGGCATTTGTGCCAAAAAGAAAACACACCTTCTGAGCGCGTTCTGAGCATCCTTAGTCATGGCGTCGGCTTCGTCCAGGATGACAAATTTGAGTTCAGTTGAACCCGCTTTGTCAATATGTAGAGACTTGGTTTGAGCAAACGTTATGATTTCCTCTCTAGAACAAAAACTGACTACTTTCTGGAGCATGAAAAAAAACAGGCGTATCTGCAACCTCTATGAATACGACAAATATTGATACCTACAAAGAAAACAGATTGTTCTCAGAAATCATAATCTCTTCTAGAAACAAAGAAAGGTTTATCCGAACAAAATAATGAAAGCAAACACACCTTACCACCCCAATGCCCCTATCATCCGAGGCATTCAATTCCAACACCATCGATTTGCGTTGCTTTGGAGTGTACATAGTGTTCACAACGGCCAGTATAGCGCTTGTTTTTCCAGTACCTGGCGGTCCATAGAACAACAGATGAGGCAGTCTGTCGTTTTTGATAAATCGAGCCACTAGAAGCAAATTATTCAGTGCAAGACCACTCAGGGAAAGACGAATCGCGTACACGTTTTGATGATTTCCTCGTGCGAGATCATGTCGCTGAGGGATTCTGGCCGGTACTTTTCTACCCATGGTAGATTGATCTCTGCTGGAGGAATATCCACTTCCATCATATTGCAAAGCTGAAATGAGTTTGAAACAGGCAAAAACTAATAGTATGTGCTGGAGGTGTTGCGGAAACGATGTTAAAATCCATAACGATAGAAGTGTTATGTTGTCGATATTATCTTTTGGAGGCGGCCATATGCCGGATCATATCTCAAATCACAAAAAAAGCATATCATAGCCATCTAACAGACACCACAAACATAGGACAACATGCACAATGTTTGTTCTAGAAAATAACCAAAAACAAAGTGCTATTGTTGCCGTGAGTAGAAAAGATGTCTCGAAAAGTAGCAAGAGCAACATAACGCTGGAATCTGACGAACATAATTCTCCATTTTGAGCTCAATCAAAACAGCCCCATAAGCACCAGATATCCAATGCAAAGCGAAGATGCATGACACATTTCAAAGCAGCATTGAAGTGGAATTTGCGCCAAGTGAAAAATAGACGTGCAAAATTCATGCGATATTGCTTGCCGCAATTGCGGGATCCCACGTCTTACGTCATTTTGCCCAGCTTCATGGAATCGGGAGGTTGTAAGTGTAGTGGAGTTTCCTCCATCTCTCTCTCTCTGGTGCTAAGGGGAAGAGCGGCAAAGGAGTTGCATAATGAATGTGTTGTTGAGACAGAACATGCCCAATAGCACATCTTCCTACAGGAAAGACATTTTACAAGGTCCTCTTATTTTAACAAGCATTACCGGCAGCGTTCAGGCAAATCTGGACATATGGGGATCTCAGTGGGTAATGGCCCTAAATAAGCCACTGCCCAACCGGCAGCTTAGGTAGTGCTGTAACGGCTGAGATATTCTCCTCAAAACTGGGCCCCAGCATCGTATCTCGCATGGATTCATGGCGCAACCCTCAGTTTCGCTGGGTCCTCGCGCGAAACTGAGGGTTGCGCCATGAATCCATGCGAACGATCCCGGAATCCAATTTGGGGGTGTATACCTCAGCCATTAGTGAGTCATCTGCGCTGCCGCTTGGGCAGTGCCTTAGTTAGGGCTCTAAAATTACTTTCCACGTAAAATCCCGATATGGTCTTTTCCAACCCGGAGTAGGCCAAACATTCCAAGTGGAGCAGCGCGTACGAGCCGCCACTGGCTCAGCGAGATAAAATTAAAATGAAGACACGCAGACTGCACAGAGGCGCGAATCGTTGCGAAGCGGATCCCCGCCAGTCCAATTTCCGCCCAAACAGCTGAAATCTACTGTAGGTCCAGATTTGCGTGGATACTGCCTTTAAGTCGGTTCAAAAGGGCATGAAAAGTGCGCGAGGTAAGTACGAATCCCATGATGTAATGATGCATGGAAAAGTATAAATGCTAAAACATTCGGAGGGCATTCTGAGCAGAAGCTCGACGAGGAACGGTCTCTCTTTCTGGGGCTGTTGCCTCGATACCATCTACAGACTCATCCGCTCAAGTCCACGACCTTTCCTCTCACACTTGCTATATTGTCTCCTGTTTAACGGGTGATAAACCTTTTATTACACGGATGTATTTTTGTTAGTGACCAGCTGCTTCGGCTGGGCGACCTTACTGACTAGGTTCTGAGCCACTATACGGTACCAGTGTTCCAGAGCCATTTCTATTAGGTTGCCAAAATGATGGCCATTTCGCGAATTCTCACTTTGACGCTGTAAGTTTTAGAAAATTCTAGATTTCTGTATGCGGTAAAGACCATCAGAAGCAGCAAATATTTTGCAATGCAACTCACATTTGTCTATACCTCAAATCACAAACGGGCAGAAAAATATTGATTAAAAAACAGGAAAGGTTTTTTGAACTTTGTTTTTGGTAATTCATAACTTCCTTCAAAGTTTGTTAGTATGAATGACAAGTTGCCTATCTTGTAGCCGGAAGCCAATAGTACAAAAGAGGAAAGAATTTGGAGAAAAAAATGCGAAAAGTAGAAAAATCAAGATTTAAAATTGTCAATTTTTCAAGATCTCATCAGTTTTTCTCAAAGTCCCGATTAGCTAATTTCCTGATTTTCTAAGTACTGAACAGCTGGATGCCTTTGCAAAAAACTGCTGATAGGATGCCCTAGCATTATACTTACAGAATTGAGCAAGTCTCTGGCGATAAACTTTTTCAAAAAGAAATTTATGGGCCATAAAATGACTGCAACGGCTCTCATGTTGAGGCGATATCTAAGTCTAAATAGCTTCAAAAATACAGTTAACATGCACAATGTGGGCAATATTTATATCATACAATAGCTGAATTTTCGAGAAGCGCTCATTCATACCCTCGATTTCTGGCCAGAAAGGTGAATGCAATAAAAATCTGAATTTGGACGCGGTTATTTAAAGCTCAGTAACTTCATAACAGATAAGCTCGCTTTAATCACCGTTAGATAGAGCATAAAAACAGCTTCTCAATGTTATGCTACTTGTATTTCAAAGAAGAGATTTTGATGGAAATAGTTATCTTGAAAAAAGGCTTGAAAAATGGGCCATTATTTTTGCATCATCCTAATAATTGGACAAAACCTAATGGGGAGACTTGTTTATCTCGATCTTGAAATTCCATGGATTTTGTCGAGAACTGCCATTGATAATCCATAAGATAAACAGCAAACAAGTTTGGAGAGAGTAAAGAGGAAGTTGTAAGAGCGATTTTTCGATAAATCGCGTGCCGAATGACGAGTCGAGCAAGGTCGAATCACACGATTGAATTGCCAAAACTAGCTAAGGCAACTTGGAACGTGACTTGAGCATTGAGATGTATCTTCTGCTCAGTTTTCACCTCAAGTCCTTGAGTTATCCATCATGCCTTCTTTAGAAAAAGCTGTGATTGTGAGATACATACAAAAATGCTTTCAGTGTAATCTTTGGCAAAGGAGAGACGCCAAGATGGAATGAGACCATAGCAATTTCCTTGAATTCATTGCTGTTTGATCATGTTTGATCTGTGTTATTCGATTTCCGCATAAACTGATCCGCAGTACGCAGTTTAGTAAGCCAGACCGAATCGGGACCTCTATAATTATAGTCGCAGCCGTTATACAAAGGGAAAACATTATGGTTCACGATAGCGTCAGAAGTATTAGATTGTTACATAAGTTTTATTGCAGTTTCCATTCCTGGAAAACTCTAAAAAAGTCGTCAAAATCTTATATACAGTATAAATATGCAATAGACAAAAGACTATCCACTGGCATCGTCTTCAATCTCAGAAAAAACACGGGAACTTCCCGAGGGGCAAGCTAATTTGCCAAACTTTCGGGGGTTTTATTTAGTACGTAAGTGAATGGGGTCGTAAAAAAGGGAACTTCCCGAAAACTTTGAGTCAAAAGCAACACAGCTAAGAACTTCCCGAGAAAGTCCTCGGAAAGTTAGCTCATAGCCCTTGGAAAGTTCTCGTAAATTGTCTGAGATGGACACGACACCAGTGAATATGAATGCAATTCTATAACATCACTTCAACCTCCACCATTTCTTAGTTCCTCAGATATCTCATTATTCTTTTTTGTGCTTTATGGATTACTAGCTGGCTTACCCGGCTCCGCCGTATGTTCCGAATAGAAAATTCCATTTCTTAACCGATCCGGACCAAACTTGGCACACATACCCTTCGGGCCCCGGCGGGTGTCACAGTCCACTTTTCGTTATCGATCGATGTCGATTTTATCGATTTTTTGCAAAATTTGAGCTACGGGGCTGGGAGTTGGCAGAGGGGTGTAATCGAGCATGCTGATTACGAATACAATATTAGTTTTCGAAACCGTGCATTACTTTTATCGATTTTATCGATTTTTTGCAAAATTTGAGCTAGGGGCTGGAATTTGGCAGAGGGGTGTAATCGAGCATGCTGATCACCCCCCTTGGGAATGATCAGCATGCTCGATTACCTCCCTGTGCCAATCCCAGCCCCGTAGCTCAAACTTTGCAAAAAAATCGATAAAATCGATAAAAGTAATGCACGATTTTAAAAACTAATATTGTATTCGGAATCCCCATGCTCACTTACCCCCTGTGCCAACTCCCAGCCCTGTAGCTCAAATTTTGCAAAAAATCGATAAAATCGATATCGATCGATACGAAAAGTAGCCTATGACACCCGCCGGGGCCCGAAGTGTATGTGTGCCAAGTTTGGTCCCGATCGGTTCAGAAATGGAATTTTCTATTCGGAACATACGTACAGACAGACAGACAGACATACAGACAGACAGACATGCATATATACAAACAGACATTCAGCTTTATATATAAGATCGTCAGTCGTGTTAGGCATGCCCTTCGAAAGTTTGAACTCTCCAATAATGCAATTTTGAAATTTGCCAAAACAGTTTAGAGAATAGTTTTTTGAGAAAAATTTCAAAATCAAAATCATCTCTTAGAAATGCATCTATTAAAAATCCACATTCCACATAATTTGTAGATAAATGAGGGAGAAATCTTCTGAGCTCAAGAGGATTTATCCTTCGTTAGCCAAACATTTTAACAACCTAATATGAGGCCATGAGGCATTTACCTGAAGACGTCATGGTTTCTCTTTCGTCTTCACCCACTCCTCTATTATATAATTAATCAACCTCTCAGATAGTATTTGTAGTAGATTTCACCATTGTTGTCTGATCTTTGATTTCCTTTTTTTTCGCCCCTCTTTCCTTGAGTTTGTTCCTGTTAAATCAAGTTCGTAGAGCAAAAATTTCCCTTTTTGCCACCTTACAAAGTGAGACTCATTTTATTCTTCGCCTGTTGGTTGTTACCTCCATGCGGTCGGTGGTAATAGTAGCTCTTTTGCTGCATCCAAGTAAATTTCATTCTGAATCGAAACGCTTTTGGCAAAGCAATTAGCACTTTAGCAGCTTGTGGAGAAGATAAGAAGAAAGAAGGATGGATCATAAATAGTCCAGAATTTTTCTGCGATCAAACCTGCAGAGCGGATTTGTACAAAGCATCCGAGGAAACCAATCGTACCAGTTGTCTCGACAAAGATCCTCTGGCTCTGGACAAAAGTAGACAAAAGGAGATAGGCAAATGCCTGAGGTATAGCTTTCTATAGGTAACAAGACCATATCTCACTTGGTTTTTGTAACTAGGGAGGTTAACGGTTTGAAGCAGCAGACAACCACTGGTCTACCGCGCAAAGATTATCGTATTTCTTGTCGTCCGCCAAAGAATCGTATGCAATGGTATCGTGGATGGCAATCGTTGACTTTTCAGTAAGTCCGCAGCTAGTTTTCTTCTGTGGATTCTAATAAAATATCTTTCTTTAGTGGAAAGCCCTGCATACGATGGGATGAGGCGCCAGTAAGATTTCCGCTGGAAAGCTTCTATAATGTATCAGCACCTTCCCTGGATTATATGACCCTAAAGATATATTCTACAACCATTTCGCAGCATGAAAATTACTGTAGAAATCCTGATAATCACATCTATGGACCTTGGTGCTTCTACAACGATAAAAATGAGGTAAGTTTTCTTTAACTCTTTTGCAGCTTTAAACTGGAACTCTTCGCCACAATTTGATTACAACATCGCTGTCTGTCGCGGTGCAACTTACAGTCGCCCTCATCCCACTAGTCGGTCGGTGGACGAATTCAAATTTGAAACGGAGCAGGCCTGTCACGGCAGAGCGCGGCAGGCAACGCTCAGCAATTACAAAAACTCAATATAGGTCAAAAACGTTGTAACAATACAAAAACTGTTAAGCAATGGCAAAGAAATACGCAAAGTGAATGCGTGAATTTGAACGGAGAGCTAAGGTGCCGTGCTCTGCCGCGACCTGCCTGCTCTAGTTCGAATTCGAATTCGTCCACCGACCGACTAGTGGGGTGAGGACGACTATAACAGCTCTTTTCGCATTACCGAATAATTTTTTTCGCGAGTGGTGTTAGCTTTGTTAGAGCTTAGACACCATTATGTTCCTGCCCAGCAGAGTATGCTTTCTTGCCCAGCAGAGTATGCTTGATACTGTGTAGTTCACGACACGATAGGAGAAGTGTATCGAGGATCCAAAGTTTCAAAAGATCATAACTGGGGCGCAGTGAATCTCGTATCAAATCAAATAGACTGCCGGCCTTTTTGTAGGACTATTGGAGTTCACTAAGCCATAGTCTTGGACAGCTGATTCATTCGTGGGCGATAGAATCAGTTCTGCATTGTAGTCCACAGCGTACTAGTGCGTAGCGGACCAGTTTTTTCCACAGTACGGTATAAAACTATTTCGGACGAATGAATCAGATCAGCTGCAACTTATAAACTTACTCAACTTGGATGGACTCACTTAAATGGTCCTAGCTTTCTTCAAGCCAGACCCGATTGAACAGAGTATGCTTGCTAATATGTATAATAGTTCCCGATGAAGAAGTATAGTGAATTTCAAAGTTTTGGAAAAGCAAAACAGCGAGCGTGGGGCGCAACGAATCTTGCATCAGAATAGTTGTAAAACGCTTATTTGACAACTCAAAGGCATCGTCATCGCATCAATATAGGCAGTGCCAGGTAAATCCCTGGCCTTTTAGAAAGATGAGTGTCACTAATGCATTGCCTAAGGGCAGCTCATAAATATTTATACCTATGTGGGCAAAATCAGTTCTGCATTTTAGCCTGCACGGACCAATCATCCTCAACATGGTAGTGGGCGAGATTGCAGATAAGGCTATTCCGAACAAATAAGTCATATCAGATGCCGCTTGGGGAGATGGTGTAAAGAACTTCCTGACTGACACATCAAGCCAAGTACTGATTACGTAGACGCTATCTACAAATTACCGTTGTCCGACAACGTTTGTAAAGGTTTTACCTTATATACTCCGATTATTAGATTTTTGGTTGTATAAGTGACATACAGGGTGTACCAAAATAAATGTAATGAACGTTTGATCCTGGCCCCAACATAGATTTGAAATTTGGCGTTGCTGTAGGACTACGGCAGGAACTTTGAAGAGAGTTTTAAGTTATAGAGGGCCATATTTTGACCCAGAAAGAAGAAACGGCCTAAAGGTTTTATACTAGACTAATTAGATTAGCTAATTCTAAACATGAGATTTGCATCTTATCATAATGCTCGTCTAATAAGTTGTGCCGGGTAACCAGTAACATCCGCTTTCCTCTATGCTCTGAATTGCGTTTACACTGTTTCTAAAGCTTAAGTTGGGCATTCAAACTAAGCTTACATTGAAACTATTGAACGAGTTTAAAGATTTTTTTATTATTCGAAAGGCAGCTTTTTCACAGTGACGCCATATGCCGGAAGTTTCTACCGTAATCTTACAGTAATGAAGAGGAATCATCGCTCCGTTCTGTGAACCTAATTGTAAACTGAAGGCAGCTCTACAGAATAGTACCTAAAACTTTCTAAAAGACTTCATGAAAAGAGGGTTATTACGATTGATTGTTCATGACATTTTTGGGACATCTTGTATAACTCTAATTTTCTGTTCTTTATTCCCCTGTTAATAGATAGAGCAATTTTCATCATTATCGAATATGGCGGAAATCCGACATTTCTTATTGTCGAAGCAGCTAGGTATCATCGAGTCGGTAGTCATTAGTATGCGTATTGCACATCATGTGTGCTAATTGACGAACCGCAAAATTAGAACCTGCTCATTTGCACTGATTTCTCTTGATTCCCTTGTCCCTTTTGTTGTCGAATAAAATGTTAGTCAGTAAACATAACTCTACAGTTTGGTAGGCTAGAAGTTTTACTGAAAACTTAGTAGTAAGGGTGCCGTCGCAATCGCGCATAGTGTGCATTCTCACATATTAAGTTACAAATGACTCGAGGATACATATCATTCATTGGCACCGCCATACTTGATCCGCTTAATCCACTTGATCCGCTTGATCCGCTTCGTCATTGGTCGATTCAGTGAATTGAGCAATAGCGAAGCGGTTGTCCGCTTGATCCGCTTGATCCACTTCATCCACATCACTATTGGTCACTTCACTGAATTGACCAATGATGAAGCGGATCAAGCGGATCAAGTGGATTAAGCGGATCAAGTATGGCGGGTGCCATTCTATGACCAGGAGACGCGAGGACACACATTGTCTTGCACACATTGTCTAAACAAGCCTAATCGTGCACTTAGCAGGTTTATACTTGATATTCATCTTGTTCGGGTTTATTCACACTTTGGAAGCAGGGAAGAACAAAACTAAACTTGTTATGACAATGCCGCAATGCGGTTTCGCGTCTCATAGTCATAAAATAGATGATAGTCACTTTAATGTAATGATTTATTTACAGATAAGACGTGCTCCATGTTTCCATACGTGCATCACCGACATCAAGAAACTCTGCTTGGCAAAAGCATTCTTCCCTTTTTATCAGACTCCGTACATGTTCGAAGGAATTCCACAAGCACCAGTTCCGCCACGTACATTACGAGAAGTTACCAACAAAGAGCTATGGGTTCAAAATGAGCGCAATGGTTTACACAGTGGAGATGTTTTCATTTTGTATAATTATTGGATCAAATATAGATCTCAGCGACATTCTTGATGTTCCTGAAGTGTTACGAGCTATACCGCAAATAACCCCTTTGTATACGATCAAATTTACTACGCGCCATCTAACCCAAGCGAGATTGGCAGGAAAGGCTGTGGTGACTAGAAAAAAGTGTGTTTTGAAGTCATAGAACAATAAATTTGAAACGTTTTTGTTCGGAACGCTCAAGCTTCATTCAGGTGCCACCAAACTGGACTTCGAACCTTGATAGCAGGACCATGGACTCCAGTGAAGGATGATTATTTGAGCTTTCCAGAAGATCGGTAAATTAATTTAAGCTTTTCCTCTTCAGAGCAGATATATGGATTAGTGGTCTCGAAAATTTTTGGAAGGGGGGGATGTGGGATTTGTCATTTAGTAGGGTGCAGCCGCTTTTTCTAGAAAGTTTACGGTGCTTTTAAGAATTTGGGCAGGCTAAGTATGACATGTGCCTACTTTTGCACAGCAATGTAAAGTTTTTTAATTCTTCAAAATCGTTATGTATTCAAAAAGAGAATAAGAAGCTTGTGCACATTTGTGACTTATATAACTACTGCCAATTCTGTGACTCATTTCTTTTTGGGGCGGGAGTGAAAATGGAAAAAAATATGGAGATGATTACTACGTCTTTTATTTTTGTACGCTCTGACCTAGACGTGATGAATTGACCAGTTTCTGAGTTGTAACCAGATTTTTTAGTGAAAAATCGGTTGAGGAAGGCGACGAAAATGTGAAAGCTTTCAAGCGTATAAATTTCCTAGCCGGAAGGCAAGGGATTAACAAACCTTGGGTGCCTTGCTTTGCAGCATGTGAGGATAATACTATCACGTGAGTTTTCACCAACTTTATTTGCAAGCTGTGAAACAATTAGTGAGCATTCTTGTAATCCACAAATCCTCTAAAGTCGTACATTCTACAAATGGCAGAGCCCGATCTTTTCCAATCTTTTCAGATGCTGGCCCAAACAAACCTCTCGAAAGCTGAATGAGCGGCTGTTTTACTTTGGAAATCGAGCTGTCAATCGAAACGAGCGTGTTTGTCTCAAATGGACAGAGGTTTGCATGCTATTGTCCTTTAGTGCAAGTTAGGCTCTGCGGACCATTGGAAGCGGCACCGTAATAGCAGGCCGACTTTAGCTCCGCCCATGCCACGCCCATTTATGCTGCTCCTATGGTCCTCGCAAAAAATTTTTCTTGACCTAAAAGATTCATAATCACATGAACTGACATAAGAAACAATTGCGAATCAGGGAGAAGATCAGTGATTCGATAAAAATTCCCGTGACAAGTAAAAAATCCACAAATTTTGTTTACAGACTTATTGGCTTGAGCCAAAAGCCTCTAAAAAAACACAACACTCTTAAAAATTGGAGTTGATTTGTGCTGATTTTCAGGCTATGTCAGCTCTTTACAATCACAACTCGGAGTATCACCGAAAAGAAAACAAAAGGCATGGAGAAGATAAGGTAATTCCCTGAGAAAGAAACATTGTTGCGCTTTATCATCTTTTTTTAGATAGATGCTGAGTTAAGACTGCAGGTATTTTATTACCAGCAACTAAGTAAACGCGTAATCGTTGGCGAAAAAATGCTTGTACATCGTTTTCTGGACGGTGGCGGAAGGCTGTTACATAGGTGAGTTATTGAAGATTGAATGTTTTTTCTCGCCATCCAAAAAAAGAGATATTTCAATGGTGAAAGAGGAGCCAACTTTTGACAAAGATTAGCTTAGCGGGCCGAAAAACAATGCCATCTTGATTTGAGCACCTGGAATTTTTGTGTAGAACTGCTAGGAACCATTGTCTAATCCCTATACTTCGCTCAAGCAGCACCTGTAGCAAAAAATTTAGCTCCAAATCTTTCACCCACTACCGTACTTGGGAGTGCTGATTCGTCTGCATTGGAATAGTTCAGTGCTGGGTGAGAATAGAACCTAATTCTTCTGCCACTAAAGAATCATACTTCCGTTCAAAAAATGGTTCATTAGTGTCTCTCAGTCAGGTTCCATTCAAATACCCTAAAATTGCTATACGAATATAAATTGACTAAATCCACACCCTAACGGTTAGCGCGTCGAACTATCATTAGCATCTTCCTCCCTCCCCTCTCTGAAATGCCCTTTCTCGTTTTATAAATATTAGGTTGTCCCATAAGTCTTTTCATATTTGATTCTTTGTTGCAACAAGCCATTTCTTCGTAAATTTCTCAAGGTATTTGTGGTACCTTCCGATAGAGCAAAGCAATTTCTACAAGATGACGTTCAAACATTCACACTAATTGTGATCCAAGCAAAGTTTGAATTCGGAATGTAAAGAGGTACAAATGCCCAAAAAACTGGAAAAGTCATATCTTTGTTCAGAAAAATCCTACGAACTTCCAGCTTGTTCTAGCATACAATTTCCACATCAAACTTTCGTACATACATTTGCTGTATTTTTCTTCCATTGCTAGAAATCGATATGCTGGGCTGTTCCTACATAGATAGGTCTATAGTGTAAATCTTTGGTACCATCATGAATTTTCAGCCTTCTACGTGTTACTTTTCGAGAAATAACGAATTTAGCACAAAAAAATGAAAAAAGTGACATTTTCTGAGTTTTTTGTAATCACTACGTAATATATAACGAATTCGTTGTTTACCCATTAAGCCGCTGATAGTTGGATTATGGCAAACGAGGAGGGCGCAGACGTAAAAATTATGATGAAATACACTGATCTTTGGAATTGGATTGCTGCCAAGTGGCATGCGTTTTGGAACGCTGCCAAATTTCAAAACGAGTGACCAAGCATATTTTCGTAAAAGGGTCACACGTATTTCGAAAGGCAATCATGAGTGTCGCAATGATTTTGAGAATGGGTCGCCATCCGGGTGTGTTAATACTTGTACCTGCTTTTTTTTTCGAGCTTGTTATCCCAGAATGTGTCTTCCGAATATGTCGTACTTCTATTAGTTGCTTTTGAAATGATGCCAAACAGCGTGACTTGCGCTAAATTCATCTAAGTTCCCAACTCTTGTAAAAATGCTCTAACTAAGAACAGTCACTTTAGGATCGTCTTGCTTCCACGTGTAGACAAGAGAGTGCGTGAGTAACTTGGTCTCGCTGGTACTTTTGGAAACGTTTATCTAATAACAGCCTTGCTTTTGCTTGTTAATGGGTACCGCTTGCGCTTTCAACTAGGAATCGGTGTGTAAACGGCACGTAGGGCATTGCATCGGGCAGGGAAACAGATTTTTGTACGTTTGGGGCAGTTCTCAGAATTGAAAGTCCTAAATGGCATGTACGGCAATTTCAGAATACGCTGTAAAACCTGATTTCGTTGTTTTTAGGGGTCGTAGATGTTTTTTCTTATATATACGGTCTTCAAGCGGCACTTAGGGCTTAAACTTTCTTTTTGAATAGTTACTATCGGTCTGTAAGCAGCACGTAGGGCAACTCGATCGGGCAGGGAAACAGATTTTTGTACGTTTGGGGCAGTTCTTATAATTTTTAAACGGTCTGTAAGCGGCACGTAGGGCAACTCGATCGGGCAGGGGAACAGATTTTTGTACGTTTGGGACAGTTCTTATAATTTTTGAACGGTTTTCAAGCGGCACGTAGGGCAACTTGATCGGGCAGAAAAACAGATTTTTGTACGTTTGGGGCAGTTCTTATAATTTCTAAACGGTCTGTAAGCGGCACGTAGGGCAACTTGATCGGGCAGGGGAACAGATTTTTGTACGTTTGGGACAGTTCTTATAATTTTTGAACGGTTTTCAAGCGGCACGTAGGGCAACTTGATCGGGCAGAAAAACAGATTTTTGTACGTTTGGGGCAGTTCTTATAATTTTTAAACGGTCTGTAAGCGTCACGTAGGGCAACTTGATCGGGCAGGGGAACAGATTTTTGTACGTTCGGGACAGTTCTTATAATTTTTGAACTGTTTTCAAGCGGCACGTAGGGCAACTTGATCGGGCAGAAAAACAGATTTTTGTACGTTTGGGGCAGTCCTTATAATTTTTAAATGGTCTTCAAGCGGCACGTAGGGCATTTTGAACGGTCTTCGAGCGGCACGTAGGGCAACTTGATCGGGCAGGGGAACAGATTTTTGTACGTTTGGGACAGTTCTTATAATTTTTAAATGGTCTTCAAGCGGCACGTAGGGCATTTTGAACGGTCTTCGAGCGGCACGTAGGGCAACTTGATCGGGCAGGGGAACAGATTTTTGTACGTTCGGGACAGTTCTTATAATTTTTGAACTGTTTTCAAGCGGCACGTAGGGCAACTTGATCGGGCAGGGGAACAGATTTTTGTACGTTTGGGACAGATCTTATAATTTTTGAACGGTTTTCAAGCGGCACGTAGGGCAACTTGATCGGGCAGAAAAACAGATTTTTGTACGTTCGGGACAGTTCTTATAATTTTTGAACTGTTTTCAAGCGGCACGTAGGGCAACTTGATCGGGCAGGGGAACAGATTTTTGTACGTTTATGCAGTTCTTATGATTGACGTCTTTAGGTGGCTCGTGTGCTTTTCGAGGAGGGATCTACTTATGTAGTAAGCTTCATATTCCTTTGGCGAAAGAAATTAGAAATTTAGAAAATTTAGAAAATTTTCTGACAAAGTTCTTAGACGATTGATTTCGTTGCTGTCGGATTGATTCTGAGAGAAAAGTTGAGGTTGCAGCAGGAATTTCGAGAAATGCTGAGTGATTTTTGGAGATTATTGCTTCTTCGAACAGTTCTCCTTTTTTAGAATGCTTCGCAAAGATGTTCTCAGCAAAGGCATAGAAAACTTATTTAGAAATACTGTTCAGTTTTATTGTGCCGTAACAGGTTGGTATAGATGATATACTATTTATTGCCTGACGTTTCGGCTTTACGCCGTCTTCAGAGGCTGAAAAGGCGTCAGTCACCTTGATGTACGTACTTAGCCGTCAAACATCTCCCCCCACTTGTCATTTGATTCATCCAAGATAGAAGTAGGGAGTACTGGAGTAAACTCCACCCACCAAGTATATCACCGTTGTTATGCTTGCAGCCGCTCGAGATGTCGATCGAGTGTGATGTCAAAGTAAGCAGTCAGGACACTTTGAGACTGCTTAAATACGGGCACACAATCTTATAGATTACAGTATGATATATACAGCATCAAGTCACTCGTTATAGACAATTTCTCATTCTTGCCATTCAGTTTGGGATCGCGGGCAAGGATGTAAGAAGCTTCCAAGGCTTTCCGTGCAGAAATCTGATGTTCGTAAGCCAAGATCTTGCACCTAATGTTGTAGTCAGTACCACCGTGCTCTATCATTCTATGTTTTCCGAGTGGACTTACTATGCTTTGCCGTTTCTTACTAGCTAAATGTTCACTTATGCGCACACTCAATGGCCGCCCAGTCTCACCTATATAGATGGCGGAGCATTGGATGCATTCAATTTGATACACCACGCCAGATTTTGCGCAGTCTCCAGGTCTTCCGTATGGGCAAATAAAAGACAAGAGGACCTACAGTATTTAGAAATATTTATAATCACAACTAAGCCCTTATATTGTATCTGCCCCTACCCACTTGCTAGCGACCCGTAGGGTCGCTAGTCTATATAAAGCAGAATGTCTGTTTGTCTGTCTGCCTGTATGTCTGTATGTCTGTATGTCTGTATGTCTGTACGTGTGTCGTATGTTCCGAATAGAAAATTCCATTTCTGAACCGATCCGGACCAAACTTGGCACACATACACTACGGGCCCCGGCGGGTGTCATAGGCTACTTTTCGTCATCGATCGATAACGAAAAGTGGACTGTGACACCCGCCGGAGCCCGTAGTGTATGTGTGCCAAGTTTGGTCCGGATCGGTTAAGAAATGGAATTTTCTATTCGGAACATACGGCGGAGCCGGGTAAGCCAGCTAGTTCTGGAATATTTCTGGTTTTCGATTTCTTTCCATGAAAAACTTAGCAAATTTAACATAATTGTTCAATGCGGGGATTATGTACCTGAGCAAGTTAAAGGTCTGTGGGATTTTTCTGGGCTGAGATCGGATTTTATGGGCATTAAAATTTTTTTGAATTTCGGCTTCAAACTTCACGTGTACCAAATCTTTTACAATTTTTCGAAGGTTATCTTGTAGAGCTTTGCTCTACCAAATAGTCGCTCAAACTCAAATAAAAAAATTGTATTAACTGATTTTTGCCGGTATGAAAATTATGGGACAACCTAATACTTAACCTTGAAAACCTTGAGAATCTCGAGAAAGGAGATCTTGAGAACTTGCTTGGAGTCGTAAAACATGTATGTCGATTATCTGTTACTATACAGTAGAGTATAATAATAGATATTCGACAGTGCAGTGTCAATATTTTGTGCCTTCAGATTCTGTGGTGGAGACTTTATTGACCTTACGTTTCGACAATGTCGTCGTCATCAGAGGTCTGAAACGGATTGTAGGCTCTTTGACTTGCTCACCATACCTTCAAGCGTCTCCTCTCACTCTGTCAGTCTAGACCTAGTCTAAGACTCGCAGCATGAGAACCCTTAAGGCCACGAAACGAACGAACCTCGACTTCACCGGCTAGCGACAAGCCCGCACATATGGTCGTAACGGACGTCACTGAGTGTCACCCAATGAGTCAATTTCTTTTATGTGCAAAGCTAAGCCCGCATAATGATACGAATGGCGCTAAGTCACTACTGATAGACAAGCACTCATTTTTGACGTTCTTACAATTAGAGGCGCACTGCGGAAATGATTACGAAGTCAAATGCACGATACTGACATGCGAGACTGAGATTTGCGCCAGGAAACTATTTGAAGCCGCGTGGATTTCTGTCAGAAATTCTAAGATGAACGTCAAAAATGAGTGCTTGTCTATCAGTAATGACTTAGCTCCATTCATATCATTATGCGGGCTTATCTTTGCACATAAAAGAACTTGACTCATTGAGTGACACTCAGTGACGTCCGTTACGACCATACCTTCGATAGTCTAGAGACAGGGCGCCAAAAGTGAAGGTTGTTTGAACGTCTGACGTCATAAATAGTGAAGGTTGTTTGAAGAAGATCAGAGAAGAAAAAATGACGTAAAATAGACATAAAAAGCAAGAGAAACTGCTGAAAACCAGATAAAAATGCTGCAATAAGGTTTGAAATCTTTCGTTTGGTGGCTTTTCAACGTGCAAGTTTTCGCTCTAAGACCAGCAATTCCCAACACGGGTTTTGATTTTTGATGCGTCCTTTGAATTTTTACCCTCGCGCCGTCCCTCTTGTACCCTGCGACGTTGTCTGGATTCTTCCGCTCATCATTCTGAGCAAGTATCGTCCAAGCTGGAGAAAATTCGTTGCGAAACCACTGAAAAAGAATAAGGTGAAGAAAAACGCATTTTTTTGTAATTTTCACAAAAAAAAACCGGCATAAGCAGAGAAATAAGCTCGGCGACGTTGTCTACATTATAGACAGAAACAAGACCTATCGACTACACAAAAAAACTGCGTGAAAAGAGTCAAACTAGGAGAAAAACGAGAGATTTTCGAAAACAAGGTTTTTGCCGGATTTCTCGTTTAAATCATAAAAAGAGTCTTGCGACGTTGTCAGCGTGAAAATAGAGATCAAGAGCTTCAAAATGATATATAGCTTGCTAAAATTGGGTTCGAAACAGCGAAGAAAAGGGTACCAGAGCCAAATGCCCCGCGCCCCGCGTTTGGGGTAGCGAGGTAGCGCGCAGCGCGCGGAGACGCAGACGAGCAGCGGAGACAGACCAGAGCCGGCGGGGCACTTGGCTCTGGTCATTGATCTCCGCGGGGTCATAACAAAACCCTATAATATTATATATCGTTGTGATCCTCATGAGACGGCCAGGAGCAATGACAACGTCGCAGGTCTTGAAAATCACTCCATAACGAGATAGACCAGCATTTATGTGGCGACTTTCTGCGCAAGATTTCAGCGCAGTTTCTCGTTTTTATTGAATTCCAGCGGCTTTCATGAACCTCCAACGCTCAATCGCAGTCTACAGAAAGGTTAATTGATAAGTTTCATCCTAATTTCTAACTGAATTTTTGAAGAAAAACCTTCTTTCCAGCAAAAAAAGGCCATAAAAACGCGATCCTTCGGTTTTTTGAGCTTTTTCTGGATGTCACTACTATATTTGCCTCATTCACATTCATCCTTACATAGTTAGTCATTAGTTTTATTATAATATCTGGGCTTCGCTCCAGATGACTTCTGTATTCCTCTCCAGGTGAAGGTTGTGTCCTCTCATGACACTCAAAGTGAAGGTTACCAGAGTACGTGGCTCTATGTATCGAAGGTATGGTTACGACCATATGTGCGGGCTTGTCGCTAGCCGGTGGAGTCGAGGTTCGTTCGTTTCGTGGCCTTGAGGGTTCTCATGCTGCGAGTCTTAGACTATCTAGACTGACAGAGTGAGAGGAGGCGCTTGAAGGTATGGTGAGCAAGTCAAAGAGCCTACAATCCGTTTTCAGACCTCTGATGACGACGACATTGTCGAAACGTAAGGTCAATAAAGTCTCCATCACAGAATTTGAAGGCACAAAATACTGACACAATTACTCTACTGACATCTTATCATGCCCAGATTCAAAGACAAGAGAGCATTCAACTTACTATTATACAATTTAAAACCCTATCCCGCGCCCCTTACATCTCTCCCACTTTTTTTGATTTTAGTGCAATTTGCTTGGATTTGGCTCGATTGATAGAGTTTGATGAGAGCAAGGTCCCTAAAGGCACAGGAAAAGTCCAGCTCATGTTGAAAGAAGCTCACCGAAGCATGTTTGAAGAGGGACCGGGTTGTTTTTCGTGGATTGATAAGAAAAAAGTGATTTCTAAAAAAACAAGGCCATAAATCAACTTTCTTTTCCAGTCTTACGTTAAGTATATCCCTTGTTTTCATCCATGTCCGTGTGGTAGCGACGCTATGAAGGCTCCTTTCAAGCCGTATCGAGAGATGTGCGAGAAGAAAAGTCACGAATATGAGCCTTGCACCGCCAGGGTTAGTCGGCTACCTTAGTTATTCAAAGCGATTTTTTTTGTTAATTACTACTCAGAGGGATGCTCGTAAGTTACTTATTCGTCGCCATGATGAAGAAGTCAAACCACTGCCTGAAGCAGAAGTACGAGGCCTCTATGTGCCTCTGATACTGATTTTGGTAACCGCTGTAGTTTGTAAGTTTTCTTTCTCAGTAACTCCTGAGATTCTGCTGAGTTGGTGAATTTAGGTTTCGCGGTATCTTTCTTCAGTGAGATTGTGAACTTATTGCTGTATAGGCGAAATGGATGATGAGCATTTAAGAAGAATTGAAAGTTATTATGCACTTCAAATCTTGACATTCTTCGGTCTACAAGCACGCTTTTTCTTTGTTATTTCTGGATAAACTACTGTCAGTAACGAATACAAAGGATGATCTTCGTGAACGAAGATGTGAAAGGTGTACACAATAGTGGGAGAAATGGCGAGGAAAATCACCCCCCTCCTCAAGCATTTTTTCCATCCACAGAAAACCGCATGGTTAATAAAACAAGCGCTTAACTGTTAATGACTTCATGCGTTTTTGTTACTGAGCTATGATAGGATAATGTGATGATTACACCTACAGTAAGCTGCTCAATGGCTTAATGGCTCTACTATCATTAAGGAAGCGGTTGCAATTTAACATCAAGTGCACCGGCGGTGAAACAAAGACGTATTCGTGTTTCTTATCTTGTTTTGCTTGTAAAATTTGAGGAAGAACCAAGAATCTAGTTGAGGATCGATGAAGGTGGTGAGGCAGACATGAAGGTCACTAGTAGGGCAGCACCTGAAGCCTCTAAAACGATGAATAGTCGGAACGTTGGGCCTCTGATATAAAAACTTCACTCATTGTACTCACCATGACACTAACAACTTCAAATCTGCTGGCTTCAACAATAGTGACAAGTTGATGTAACGACGTTTAATAGTTGATACTTCTCGTCTCAATAGCTTCGGCGAATTCTAATGTGAGTACTTTTACAAAGTTCTCTAATTTAGGTATAGAGCTTAAACTCGGTCTTTTTTCATAGCTACTGAGTTACGGTAAGCACATCTAGAATATTAACGCCGTATTAAGCAGTTGCAATCCAGACAATCCTTTCCTATAATATAAACTCCATCTCAAATACGCAACGGCTAGATTGGTTCCCCCACATGTATGGATTAACGTTGTTTGAATAGACGCCAATCGCAGAACATTTCCTTATCGTTGAGAGGCGCGACAGTGCAATGATGAGCACAAGAAGACGCAGAAATCCTAGCGCGAATGAGAGATCACGACACGCAGGGTGCGCTTTGCTGCTGTTTTGAAATACGCGCGTGCCAAGGGCGGTATGTATCAACGCCCATCCGGGTAAGGGATCCATTCAGCTAATATCCGCTTCATAGCTCGTTGCTGTGGATATCTCCTTGTTTGCCCAACTTTTAAGGGCCCTGCTACTCTAACATTTTAGCATAATGAACAGCAGACTTTGTTGTATAAGCTGAGATTTTCGGTATTTTGTGTGATCCCGAACGGTATCGTCAAGGAGTCACGGCTTATTCTTGCTCTCGTTTGTTTTTCAAGCTCTTCCCAATTTTCCACACTCCACTCAAATCTGGAGAAAAACTCCGGTCTGCTTGAATTCGATTTTTCTCTCCAAAATTTTTGCGTGAGTGCAAGACTGACATTGTGGAAGGAAAATGTACAGTGCTTCTTAGAGCAAAACACTACTTTATAACATAATAAATAAATATGATCACATCTTCGCCCAAACTTTGAAAAAATCTTTGAAAATCTTGCATTTGAGAGCAGTTGCTCTGTTTGAATTCAACTTTTCCTCCTCAAAGTGTGAGCGTGAGTGCAAAAGTGTGTGAGAGGAAAGTTTACAGCGCTCCTCAGGAAAACACTATTTTAAAACGGCTAGCAAGTAAGGCAGACACAGTAATGCTTTGGCTGGGATATAATTATTGTGACAGCGCTGATTTGTTTGAAAGGTTCTTGCAAAGAACAATGTAACCAGATTTGGTACATAGGTACCCTTTGCCTGAGAGAGTTCTCATAAAGGGAGGGGAGAAGTCATGGTCACTAACAAGGGAAGGATAGTTGGTGACCGTGGCCTTTTAAAATAAAACGTACACCATCAAATGTATCTTGAAGCGCTGATTCCAAATCTGCTTTCGGTATCTGCTGTGCGCTCTTCCGAAAGAAGTTATGAACATTTCTTGACGCCAAAATTTGCACTGTTTTTGATGCAGGATTCACCAATATCGTTAAAATGTTCGCTTACGCACTATGAAAGAGCGTCCAAATAAAGTTTTGCGTTAAGCTTAGAAAAACTGACTCCGATCTGTCGGAGTCTAAAGAGCTTGGATTCTGACGCTTCTGACTGCCTAAATCTCGTAAAAGCGATATGGAAAAAAGTCCATAATTTCGTTCAGAGGGTCGCACAGCAGATATTGAACATAGATTTGGAATCAGCGTTTCAAGGCGCACCTACTGATATACATCTCATTGCAAAAGGCTACGGTTACCAAGTATCCTTTTCTTGTAAGAAAACAACTGCCTTTTAAACCTGCAAGATACTCTTCAGGCCTAAAACGATTTTAGTCAATTAGGAAATTTTTCAGAATGCCCTACGTGCCGCTTACACACAGCTATATACCCGGTGCCGTACTATCCTAGAAACTCTTGATGCTCAAAGTAATGCCTCGATCCTAAAAGAATTCTCAATCTGCCCTAAGTTCCGCTTACATTAAAAACACTCAGGAACACAACACCGAGAAGTTCTACTACAAAATGAGAAGTAACTCATTTTTTTTAGAAGAACTTCCTGGAAGAAGGAGAAATCTGAAGCATTTAGAAGGGCTTTTGGAAGGAGCGTAAAAATTCGAGTATTTCAGCTGGGAAAGCACCATAGGTTAGTGAAGCATTTGTACTGTACGTACTGCAAATGTCACTGGAGACAGCGATGAGGTTAATCAATTAATTAATTTTGATTCATTAGCATTTATTTATCTACTTATTTTTCGATTTACGATTGCTTTCCAAAATTTGCTCCTGTGTTTCTGCATGTTAAGCAATGCTTACGTGCACTTTATATCCAGATATTGTCATTTTGATTTTTATTGGCTTTCTACATCCTTTTGAAAAATCCTGCAGAGACTTCAAAGAAGACCAGTGGAATGTTTTGAGATAATGACAAAAGAGGAATGTGGTTATGTTTGAACGATGACCCAGCCAGTACGAGTTTCTTGGAAAACTGCAAAGCTAAGAATACGGGTGAGCAATTGAAGCCAGGAGCACCTGCCTGCAAGCCTATTAGCCACAACACTAACCGACATACAAGATCCTTGTATGGCACTTGTGTACTACAGCCCGAGTGTGGCCCCTAAAATCTTCATAACTCCTGCCCTGAAACGGAGGACAGATTTGAAATCAGCGTTTCAGATCTCACAAGATAGTGTACATCCCATCTTAAAATGCCACTTCGATCAACGTTCCTTCCCTTGTTAGACCTACTACAACAGCATGAGTAAAATGAGGATCAAGAGGTTACCGACAGAATGAATTCTATTTGGACAATCATTAATTGTTTGAAAAAAGGCCATAATCTGAGATTGTGCAATAAAAATGTTCGTTTTCAGCAATGCTGTAAGCGCTCCTCTGCTAAAATACTGCAGTGCAGGTATAAAGCCCAAAAGCGAAGCTTTGCAAAACCTGCCCAAAGTTTATTGAATCTTAACCATGTTCAGTTACGTATATTTGCTTGGCTACCATGATCATAGTCATAATAAAATGTGAAGGCTATCATGACGATTATTGTGTTTTTGTTTGCTTCTCAAACAATAGAGTAAATACCAAAATAAAAAAGTCAACATTGATACAAAATATATCAGTAAAGAACGTCATACTCGCGGTGGTAGTCGTAGCACTGATCCATGCACTTCGATAGTTGCTGAACTTCCGTCTTGAACCAAAAGATGAACCACCCCGTTTTGAAACGTTTCCTACATTCATCTTTGCACTGAAAAACAGCTGTTGTATTTTAAAAATCAGTCAATTCAAAGAAGAGCAAACCTCTTCCAGATCAAACGCGTTGACGTCCCTTATTTTTTGGATATAAGTATTGCCCGTGTAATTATATTCTGCAGCTACAAATGCAAACACCATTAGTAAGTAATACAGCAAATTCATATGCATGATTTCCCAGTCTGGAATTGCCTTGTATCCATGTATGTCAACGTACATATTCAGTGGAATGTATCGTAAGACCGGGCAAGTGATCTGCTTCATAGAATTCTTTCCCACCTTAACTTTCTGCATCATGTTCGTGAAAATACGCATGCAGAATTTGATGATAAGATAAAGCAGTTTTTTTCGAAGGTTATAAACTGTAGGAATTATTTGCTAGTCTAATTCATAAATGGATATAAAGGGGACATGCAGCAACATATTGAGTTCAAATACAAAACTACATGTATACAAGTTGTTTTTCATTTTCTCAGAAATTAAACTTGACTACTTTTGTGTTCGAGGCGCACAATATATAATCCAAATATATTGCCTCTATTTCAGAAAGTAATTCTCGAAAGAACAGGCATGGGCTCGTTTACCCTCAAAGCTGCAACCCAACGGCGAGAGGAGCTGCGTTCGATACGAAGCGGTCGCATGCGAACACCGCCGTGGCTTTTTCGTCATTGAGGACGCCGCTCCCTCGCCGCGAGAATCTTAATGCGTACAGGAGTAAAACGTGTTTAGGAATGTTGTGGAATGCGAGCCTTTGGAGAGCCTTTAAACCCGTGTCACCACATACGAGTGATTTCGGAAAACCTCGAGAAAACTCGGCTTCCAAAGGATTTGCAAAAGCAACGCGGGCAAGATTTCTTCTATCCATTCCTCGTAGGGTCAAAAACGTCTGGGAGGAGGGCGACGCATGAAAAAAACTCTTGTAAAAGTGAGGAGGAAGCTGACTGGCGGGACGTCCATCACAGAACAATCACCCTCTGCAAACCACTTTGAATACAAATTTCTTGTTGTAAAGTATTTTTGCGTAGTTCATCCTAGTCGACTTGCGACAAGTGACTGATTACTGCAAATGGAAAATCTCACAAGGCGTTATAGATGCTAGGCAGAACCATAGAACCAATTTGAAGAATCACTAAATTACTTGCTCGCCGAGAATTGGCACAGTCTGGTGAAGTTACACACCAGCCTATAACACTTACCGAAAAGGGCTTCGCTTTTTTATCCAAGAAGTAGAATTCCGGCTTGAAGGCTGGCCAAAACTATAGGACCGCCAAGAGATCCTACTCACCTGAGCACTTCCCAGCTTCCACAGATGTTTTTTTTAAGAATTTGTGGTCAAAAGTGTAAACAACAGATGCTTAGAGGCAATGTCCGGGCAAGTCCTCGTTTTTTAACAAATTCGCACATGAGGTTATCCGCAACGCTGAATCCAAATATATACGTTGGAAAGCGCGAAAATGGCGACAAGGTTTCCCAAGGGCTTATAATTTTAATATGCTTCCCGTCAAGAGATGCAGAGTTGCTGCGCAACCCTACGACTTTGAAGGCAGTGTCCAGGCAAAAAGTCGATTTTGAGATTTTGTGTTTATCCGTGCCTATTCGCTAAGTCCGAAAATCTGCACTGGAGGGCGCGACGACAAAAATAGGATCTAACGCAGGGAATGAGCAAATGGGCGGGGTATTCCCCACTTTGAAATCACGCTCCCAACTTCCGGAGCGATCTTCTCGATTCCGCTAGCCGCTCTAACGTCGCCACCGGTTAAGCGCAAAAGCTTGATTTGATTTCGAAACCGAGAAGAGTGCTCCGAAGCTTGGAGCGTGTATTCACAGTGGGGAATACCCCGCCCATTTGATGATTCCCGCCTGCGTTAGATCTTTTTTTTTGTCGTCGCGCCCTCCAGTGGTGATTTTCGGACTCAGCGCAGCGAATAGGCACGGATAAACACAAAATCTCAAAATCGACTTTTTGCCCGGACACTGCCTTTAAGTATGCACTAGCATCCTCGCTGAGAAAAGGATCACAGCATCAAAGAAAGCTTCGAGTCCTGAGGCTTCACATATATTGATATCACGCTGTCTACCTATCCGTAATATTAAACAGGAGCAAAAGGCTATGTAAGCCGCATTTTCCAGCTTTCTGCATAACGACCTAATGATCCCCAGCTGCCGACCGTCTTTTCTTTACATTATTTTTTTTTTTGAAGTAAATCAAAACGTTCCAAGAGTGCTGTTTATCTAACCCAACATCGTTAATCATGCTTTTGATAAGAGTCGTGAAATTTGCGATGAACCACAAGTCGAAAGAGGGTTTATCGAAAAATCGAAAGATCAGCAACATGCTTAGCGCCGTTGGGTTAGATTATCAATACAACTTTGGGAGATTTTCCTTGATTTTGATTGAAGAAAAATGACTTCAAAGAAAAGACTTTTGGCCGCCGGGATCATTAGGGGATCATACAAAAAGCTGGAAAATGCGGCTTGTACAGCTTCTTGCTCCCGTTCGATATGTTCTTAGTGAGGGATGGTGTGAATACTTACGGATAGGTAGGCAGCTAAAATCCACGTATCTGGAGGCTTAGTACACGAAGTCTGTTCTGAAGCTGCAATCCCCTGCCCAGCGGGTTGGTAGTGCATGAGCTTTAACTGTGTCCCGCAGCTTTGAAAAAAGCTTCGTATACTGAGGCTCCAGATATGCGGATTTTAGCGCCTACCTATCCGTAAGTGTTCCCACCATCCCTCACTGCACAATAACTAAATAGATCTGGAAGAACAGAAGTAGTCTGCTGAAAGAAAATTGGTGCGGATCTCTATTTTTGGCCAGCGTCCAAGTCCGCTCATTTGAAGAAATAAACATTTTTTTTTTGAGCAAGCGAGTGAAATCGAGACCGATTCTGACGGTAGTCCGATTAAACATACTTTTATATACAGCAATTTTTAGAATGACTAACCGAGTGCGTTTTTTGGCCAGCACTGTACATACCAAACGCTAAAGGGTTTCCGAAAATGCGGCGCATATCACTGCAGTTTTTGGATATAGCATAGGTAACCATGCATTGTAAGTTCAATTTAAGAGCTACATCACTTAGTGACATGGAAGAGAATATGTGACAGACGTGAAATATAAATTAACCTTTTATATGCTTTCAATGCTCTCACTGTCAACAGAAGAACCGATTTCGGCCTGTATCTATTCGCTGCCTAGATGTTGTTAATTGTAGAAACATCAGCTGTGCATATTCGTTTGCACTTTCGGAAGTACTTGGAAGCTGCACATATAGGCTATACCAGCCAGCATCGTCTATGCGACGTCGCGCCTGCGGCATTGCGACGGTGCGGTGTGACGCGTGCGAACTCTGCTGCGCGTTAAAGAACGTCGCATGCGACGGTGCGTCGTCGCAAGTATACTGACGCGAGACCGATGCTGGCCGGTACAGCCTGTATCTCTGTCTGTGTATGTTAGCATTCATTCACTAGGTGTGTTGATAATTAGTACTTTGCCTTTGTGTGTGTGAAACTCGGTAAGAACACAGACCTCACAAACATTTACATATTTATTTAATCAAACATTACGCTCTGAGGCGTGCTACAAAATCAAGATTATTTTAGGTCGTTTCAAAAGTAATTTCGCTTTTTTCAAACGAGCACCACATTTGACGGAACAAAGGTTTCTAAGAGACCTTAGATGCATTCGATGCAAAACAGTCAATGAGCTTTCAGAAAATAACCAAAATTTGCGACCTATGCTTTTTGAGATAGTCAAGTTTCATAATTTTTTAAAACTTTTATATTAACCCTCCGAAAAAGTGCAAGTAACGTCTTTATAGTGCAAACCCTACAAAATGCAAAAACTTTTTTCTTTTTTCCATAGCTTGTCATACATTTTCAACAGAATTTTAACTGATGCTACCGATTTCCATACTTGGGGGCTAAATCCTCGTAGACGATGCAGCATCTTCTCCTCTTTCTAACGGTTGTTTATTGTTTCCTATTTGTTTAGTTTTTCGGGGATGAAATCATCACAACTCATTTTTTTTAACGAGCCCCAGGCTGTACCCGAAAAATTCGAAATTTGATATTTCGAACCGTAAACCCTCACTTGCTTTGTAAAATTGATGCTAACTCATAGTCCCATCTTGGTAGTCTCAAATTCCGAAAAATCATGACGTTCGATGCGATTGTGGCTGAGGTGGGCCTGCCAAAATCCGATGGTTCTGTTGAAAAATTTTTAAAAAAATTACGGCGAGCTACGAGAAGGAGAAAAAAGTAGAGCTGTATTCTATAAGGTTTACTCTATCGAATCTTCACTTGAACTGCTCCTGAGGATTGATATGAAAGCTTCAAAAAATTGTGAAACTTGACCATCTAAAAAAGCTTAGTCGCAGATTTTGGTTTTTTTCTGAAAGCTCAATGACTGTTTTGCAGCAATTTCATAGCCATCAAAAAGAGAATGAAATTCTGCATCGAATGCATCCAAGGTCTCTTAGAAACCTTTGTTCCATCAAATGTGGTGCCCGTTTGAAAAAAGCGAAATTACTTTTGAAACAACCTGATATATACAGTTGAGATACAGTGCTGGACATAATTATAGGGACACTCTAGAAATCGTCGTAATTTTCGTTCTTGTCAGTGAATCTGTCGGAAACTTTGCTGTATGGTGCGCATGTAAGCCTACCATAACTCCTCAGAACGGCTTCCAATCCCGTTGATTCCGAACGGAGAAAAATGGAAAAATTCGAAAAAGCCTGTTTTGCAAGCTGGACATAATTATAAGGACACCTGGCCTTTTTAAACATTATCGCATTCCTTGACTCCCAAATTTTTTTGTAGAGTTACATCCCAGAATTTGAAACTTTTGCAGCGCCTAGGACCTGTCATGCTACTCAAGGAAAGATGATCCTTGCATTTTTCATTTCCAAAGGCATCGGAAGTCAAACTGCTTCAATAAACAACTGGTTTGAGGAGTTTTCAAGCCCTTGTTCATTTCAAATGATAATCATGGAGTCTACTGATCCTTCTGGATAGATGAGGTGAAGAGCGCTTTCGTAAACTCTGCGTAATCGCTGATTTTGACGGACAGACTCCAACCTCACCATAGGGTTGTCGCGCTTTTGCACCACAAAACTCGATTTTCAAGTTACAGAAAACGTTGCAATGTAGCCGCAACAATACACGTACAACAATAAACTTGTGTGCCTAGTCAGGAAAAAATTTCGGGGTTGCACATTCTGGTTCAGCCGCAGTTGTCATCCTTTGAGAGTTGAGTCGAGCACCCTGCACAATCATATCCAACTCAAATCAAG